TACATTGATTTGATGATATGCTTCAGTGCATGCTTGAACGAAACTCGCGATATCACCGAGCCAACGAGATGCATCATGGAGAAGATGAAACCAACTACACTCAATATGCTGATAAGGAATAAAGAACTTATGCCAAGAGTTCGAAATACATTCAGTACCTATCTTTCTATCAGTTTCGGGACGAGAGAAAGCGGAAACATACGAGGAAAGACACGCGCCAGCACGCTTTAGCACATGCATGGGATTTATTGGATAGAAGATCGCAGCGAAATATTGTCATTTTAGTATAAATAGCTATATAAACATGGCGAAAACATGATTCTCGAGATGTCCGATATTTGCACTACACATGCAGTATAGGGATAAAAATATACACAAACAAGCTTGCGATGCACTTTTTATTTTACTTGTCAAGCACCACAAAATGTAAGCGTAGTTATTCATACGTTTTGAGAGTAGAGGAAGATGATATGAAATAAATTTTACCAAAGTGTTATTTTTTAGGATGCATTTATAACGACGTTTTGGTAAATGATTTGGAACTTGACCGCACATGAAAGTGATCACTTAATTCTTCGACCTTCTCGGAAATTTGAAGTACCTACTTAGAAGTTATGCGGAAACGTAAATGACATTTTCCGACACATGTCTCGTGAAAAATCTTTGTATTCAGTTCAATGCAAGTAATATAGTTGGAATGGTTTGTGTCTGGGAATGGATTATAATAACTTTGGTTAAAATTATCAAGGCGGGTGACCATTCTATATAAGCGCCCTAACAAACCCACAAGTTTCGCTTGGCTTATGCGGGAATATTACTTCGGAATTCATCTTTAAAATTCACACTCCCCGTATGAAATCGCCACCTTTTCCACAAAAGAATCACTTTTTGGTAACAGTTGGTTGTTAAAATAGAAGGAACCGTACATAATTATTTATGACTTATAATTACCAATTTATAAGGAACATTGAAATAACTGTAACCCATACAAAAAATACCCTATTTTATGAACATTTTCCGACCAAGATAGCTTCGATGGAAACCATTGAATGGATTTGTAATTCGCTGTTTATTGTTTCGAGATATTGGTTACAGAGCATTGGTGTAGAAAGAGTACTTAGGATATCCTCTACACCTGAATAATTACAGGACATGCGCGGTAATATAAAAATATGGACCACATGTTTGCAAGGTGACATCACCAATCATCTTATCTCGACCTACCGATCTTTATGTAACTGGATATCAAAATATTGATAATAGAAATTGATAATTGATAATCAAAATATTGACAAGGGAAGTAACAACCATAGTCACTCAGATGACTAGTCTTCAAATTAAACTGATTTAACAGTAAACCTCATTGCGATAATAATTAGGAGTTTGTTTGATATAGTGAAAAGATTCGTTTCTTTCATATTTAAAAGACGAGATTGATAAAAAATTTACGAAATCTCTTAAAACAACAATTACTATATTTAGGATGGGCACGATAATAATGGACCCGGAATATAGACTAGAGGAAATGTGTAGTGATGTGTAGCACCCGATCGAATGTTGGGAGACGGCTGGGGGCAATTCACTGATGTAGAGCACACACAAAATAGGAGTACGACGTGAGGGTGACTGTCTACCGTGTTGTTTAAACAAAAAAAGTAGGGTGTAGGAGGGCCGTCCACTGTGGCATGTAATAGAAGGGCTAATGAGAGGAGTGACGGGGAGTCGTCCAATGTACGTAGTGGTCGGAATCATGAGACTAAGGGCATGGGTAGTGTTGTATATGAATCACCTCAGGGGTGTGGCAAAGTAGAGTGGCAGCCTTTACGAGGGCGAGAGGCTATCCCCGGTTGTACAGCATTGTACTGCTAGGGGGACTTAAAGGAATATTGAAATCATTGATGATTCGAAACCTCGTTTTGGCTAAAACTTCAAGTTAACACCTCACAATACGTTCAAATATCGTAGTGACTTTGACATGGAATATATATCAGTGGAGATTCACAATGCCGTAAACGAAATAGTGCGGGAACTTCATTCCTGCTATATTTCGTATTTATAGGTGCTAATTTGCCTTTACATTTGTGTAATATTACACATTTTCTTAGTGAAATTGAGGAAATAACAAGTTCCAATATCTACTTACTTACAAACGTCAAACTGAGTAATGTTTTTTATCATAATGAGATTATCAGGCGAACAATACGTGCATGCAGGAAGCACCTTTTGGCATGAAAGTACATGTTTATTCAAAATATGAAGTTGATCACATCCCACATGCAGAGTTGACTTTTGTGTGTTGTACCAGCTGAGAGACTGGGCCGACCACACTACTCGTGCTCTCAAGGATTAGTACGTTATTTTCGTATAATTATGTGAAGCATGGGACAAATTCAAAAAAATTCTCAAAAACCGAAAAAAATGATAAGAAAAAGTTTATGTCCGGGCAAGAAAAACAAATGAAAACTAAAAGGCAGGAAATTTCCGCTAGCAAATGCACGGTACGTCATCACAATATCCCCGGGGATTGTTCAAATCAGTTTGCTTACGTGGGGGTATTTTGAAGTTCCAAACTTCTAAAACCGGTGAACTATATATATATGTATGACGTTCTCAACTTCTAAAACCAGCAAACTATATATGAAGAGAATTCACTGTCTAAAACACGTCCATCTGGTATATCATAAACAAGGGTATATAGCAGACGAAATAAACTGATCAAAGGAAGCCTTTTGCCCAATATTTCAACAGTTAAGGAATAAGTAATTAGACTAATGATTTCCTTTACATAATATAACGACATATTTGCCGGTCTTCAAAGCTAATGTATCATGTATTTTTGGTGTGAAAATTACGTCAAAGTTGCCATGTGGGATGACTTTCACAAAAGATTTCCTTGTTTTGACTCTAATACCATACATTCTATATCATTCTAACATCTTTGAAATCTTCAAAATAGGGAAAAACAATTTGATAAAAAGAGCTATTCAGTTTTGAGGGGCTATATACTGAACAGTCAGTGAAATTTAGGTAGTTTAGATAATTAATATGTATAAAAAAATGCAGTTTCATTGGGTGCAGAGTAGGATATTTACTTATGTGAAACCGCCTGCATGTGACATTGCATGGGATGACTTGGCATACCGTAAGAGAATATTGGGAGTCACATGCTTTGTTTCTAAACGAAAATGTTTTGGCATATATTCTTAGCCAGGAAATCTCTAACAGCACTTCCTTATCAAAGAATTTGGGTGGCATTGTTATTTTCCCAGGCAAAATAGGATATCTAATATATAGGTATTGCCAGCTATCGCTTTTAAAGAGAATATTTCAAAGTAAAACTTGTTTGAATATTTCAAAGTAAAACTTGTTCGTAAAACTACGATGTTTAGTAATTGTCCATAGAATTTTCTATTTGTATTAGAGGGAAGTATATATGAATTAGTCACAAACTTGTCAAATTGGAAAAATGAATTAGTCAATTTACAACCTGAAAATATTGCAATCGAAATTCAGTTATAGAACTATATTTCTCTTCGAAAACGAAATCACAACGTTTCTTAATTATACCTATAATATCTATTGAAACATCGCGACATTTGTACTTTTTAAAGGCTGCCAGCAAAATTTTCACACACATTTTAATGACACGAGTAAAATTTATGTCAAACCGGAAGGCTCTACAAAAGCTGATCTATAGGATTAGGCCAGTTCTTTATTTAATAAGGATAGTCTTTGAAAATCTAAAATGTAAAGCTCTTGGCCCTCTCTCTGTTATGCTTCAGCATACCTGACTGAGTCACACGGCTTTTGAGATGTAAATGAAACACTTCGAATTTGAAGCCAAGTTATTGGTGCAATATCGAGGAGCGTTTAAAAGACCTGGAAGTGTGAATGTTCTTATATTTCTTTGTTAGTTTCATCTCTCACCACCATAGGATTATCCCACAGAGGTGTGTAAACCCGTCATTAGCCGAATTTTTGAAACCCAGGGTGAAATTTTATTATTCAGAACAGAGACAATGGCGAATTCAAGTCGCTTAGTTAGCGTACTTGATTTTGCATTTCACCCATAATGCAAGACGAGCTCGCGCGCGTGACTTCCGTCATCCTATTCCCCCCTCACGCTATATGTTCACGAACTCACTTTTGTGTCCTAGTATAGTTCTCGAATATAATTTCCAGTATTGTTGTCACTACCCGAAAGAAAAACTATAATTCATCAAATATTAGTTCAGTTAAAGACTTTAGTTTAACAAACATTAGTATTGCTACAGACGTTTGCAAGATTTGTAATGTTGTTGTGTTGCACCGAATATTTTTCTTTTATTTCGAAAGATAAAAAGTCCTTCTAGATTTTCTATATATACATATCCTGTTCCGCCCATTTACCATGCGACAAGTAAATTATGCACTTACACATAGTTAATTGCGGTTACTTGTGGAGTTGTGGTGATTTGTGAGGCGACTGTATGGCGACTTCTCGCGCGTGTCTGGATCGTGATGGTAACGAGTGGCTCGCTAGGAATTATGCTTGACCACACACAAGTGTAGTATTATTATCACATGTTATTTTGAGGCACTTGACGAAAGATTATTCGAGACTTGAAAGTGTATCGATCGCTAGCCATTTAATTATAGGGTTACTGCATGTTTTTATGCTGTTCTGAAGCAATTTAATGCATGAGGTTTTTAGATGGAGGGTTCATATTAAAAGAGGGGGCGAGGTCATTATGATGTAGATAGGTGGGTGCATGGAGGAATGGGGGGATGCATGGATCAAAACAAGGATCGGTTGATTGTGAATATGACTCAGGTGAATAAGTATTGTGGTGGTGTTATCAATCGGGCAATCTGAAAAATTTTGACCATAGTCCAATGCTCAAATTAGTCCCTTCTATATCTGTGTGACTTAAGGATGGACATATTGGAATAATAGAAGTTAAATTTTAGCTATACTCACTGTGTATGGACTTTAATTAAAAATAACCGGGATTGGGTAAGTACTGAGATCTCAATGGCCCCTATGAACAACTAATGTAATTAATACATTTGAACATTAATACATTTTAATATACACTTATATATACATATACATACTTGGTAGTTGTTACCAAGCCCTCCCGAACTTTTTCTGAGGTTACTTGAGGTTACTTTTTCGATTTCAATTTTCCAGGTTTGTTTCGAAAACTAACGATAAGTCGTAAATTATCGAATTTTGTGATCAGAACTTCAAAATAGACCTTTCAACATATACACTAAATTTACCAAAGCGTACTTTTAGTAAATTTAACGTTTATTAAAAGGATTTTTCAAAACCAAATTGAAACCGAGATAAACATTCAAAAACGTACCGGTTCATGCTTTGCACGAACTAAATCAGTGAAGACATCAAAATGAGCTTTAAACTCCAACTTGAGTTGAGGAGATAGAGTCAAGCAATTCTTGATTCTAGCTTGTAGACCGCTACCTATCCAGCTGGTATATCGCGATCACGATCTATGACTTAGCGACTAACATTACCAAATAGTGCCACTGTACCTGAAATCACTGATTGTGTTTATTCGTTTGGCCGAATTTGCAAAGTTATTTTTTGCTGATTGTCCAAACATTCCCTTAATTTGTCTTCAGCCATCGTCAATCTTTGCTCCAAAATTGAAACAGTCTTTGAAAAAAAAGAAAAGAGGGTGTATAATTTAAATGGTGCAGGCGAACGGGGCACCTTGCGCAGTTGTGACCTTTTATAGAAATACTTGAAAGTCTATATCAAGTATCTCCAAAAAATTTTTTCAAAAGATTTAGCCTCTATAACTATTAAACGAAACATAGAGAATTATATATATTAGAATAACTGGTGTCGTAGAATGGAGCATGAAAAGGCACATCATATAAAGTACATGTATACGGTATACAAAGTTAGTTAAGTTACAGTATATGAAAGAAAATATTAGAACAAGAAGGGTATTAGGAATAAATGGTGTGGCAGGTAAGAGTAATTGGGGTGAGATACAATAGAATAAGTTGATTTTTTGGTATGGATGATAGTTTTTGGAAATAATGGCGGATTGCTCATTCTAATACGCTCTTTAAAACGTATTTGGACAATTAGCAAATCACGTGACCAAATCCCACAGAAAGAGAGTCCTGGGAACGAGGTAGACTTGTGTAGAGAGCTTCCCGCAGCTACAAATTGTAATTTAACTGCACTGCAGAATATATATACCACACTGAAAATGCCATTGGTATACATCAGAAGAGTTTATGATAGCATACCTGTGTCAAAACATCAAGTTGCCCAACGATATGTTCCAACGTTGTTGCAAGTTGCGCAGGTATTTCTCGTCTTTCTAAAGGAGTGGTGAGCGGTGCTTCCACTTGATTGGGAGCTTGTTTCGGATGCCTCGCCTCAGACCTCGTCGCCTTGTCCATCTGACTCACCTCCTGAGAAAATAACTAATTTGTAGCTTCTTCACTGACTTTCTTTACATTTTAATAGAATATGACTATTAAAGTCGGTGAAAAATCGCAAGGGAGGACGAAAAGGAAATGTGTAAGTGTAAGCAGGTGGTATACATACTGTGGGTATTGAAAACATGGCAGGTGCAACTTCCACAACCTCTGGGTCATTCAATGCCATATTTTTAGGTTTCGAGGGTGCGTGAATCTGAGAAAATCAATCATTGAATACTATGATACATGGATGATGTGATTACGAGGCGAGTGTGATTGGCTCTACGGTACATGTTACTTGTGTTACATGCTGCCCTTGCTTCTGGAAAGAATCATCAGGTAACAACCCATTTTTGAGACTTTGATCAAGAGACCCCCTTGTCTCTTCCTAGAAGCGTTTTCTTCCAGCACTCCTTATTTATGAAATTTCTGTATTTCACCTAATCTTTATTTCTCACCTCAGGTGTGGGTGGCGGATCATGGCTATGTTTAGTTGGTGTTGTCACTGTTCTACGACGCGAAGTCAGAACTTTAAAATAAAAAATATTTTGAGACCAAATGGAAATGTTGCCTGTAGGGTTGGAAGCAAGAAGAGTACTTCTGCTTTTTGCTATTTGCCTCTTCGCCCATAGTAACTAAACTATCATGAAATGTCGTTCACTGGTATCCCTAACCAGGCATGCAATGTTAATAGTTACCCAAAACGAAAAAAGTTAATCAGGGTTAAGTGCCTTTATTATTGACATTCAGAGATGACTTCGTCTGTTTAATTATTTTCTTTTAAGTTGGGTACCTTCGCTGTAGTCCAGTTTATCGAAGTTAGTTTTCCAAACCATAACCTTCAATTACAAAATACATTTAAGACGAACTAGTTAGTAGAGTATCAATAGAATAATAAGAAGACGATTTGTACTACTTATTAGCTATACCTGTTCATCTGAACCACCTGAAGCAAAGTATTCACCATTTCTTGAAAAAACAACGGAATTTGCCGAACCCTAATATTCAAAGATGAACTAATGTTGTATATTCGTGTTGTGATCATCATCGTTATTGTACTCAAGAGGATATTGATGTTGTATGATTTTGATGCTGTTTTTGGTTGTGTTCTTTAATTATGTTATTTTTCTGTAGTTCCGTGTTGATGTTGTTCGCGGGTTGCTGTTGCTTGTTTTTTCCTTATAATTGATATTTTGTTTATCAGTTTCTCTAACCTGGTGACCATGTAAGGTATAAAACAATCGTCCTTCCATCAAATCAAGAATCTAGGTAAATAAAAAATATCAGTACAGCACACAGTTCACACACCTCGATTAACAATCCATTGATATACCACATCAGGACACACCTAAGGCCGCATATGCAGGAAATATTTTTTATTGTAATATTACTGTCCCCCTAAAGAAATATGGGATTACAGAGGTCCCTGATCAACCATTCAATCATATTTATATTTTAAAAACGTAGCTACCAAAAAACTACAGGCTTAAGTGGTGTATGCAGAAACACATAACCAGAAATGATCCTCTCCCTGTTTACACTACACTAAATTTATCAGCACGAAATGACTAATGGCTATAAGAATGGTACCGGACTCAATGTTATCCTGCCCAGGCTACCCACAAAAAGGCCGAGCACGGATGAAAAGGGTTTACGGGTATCTATGTTTATCGTGCTGGGCGAATAAATTGAGTGTAGTTGGTGTAGTGTGAATGGGGATCATGACTAGGCATTTCAAATAATTTTTCAACCATGCAAACTTTATGATTGTACCTTCAAAGTGGTGTCGGAAGAGCTTGTTATCATGTAATTACCAGACGGATGAAATGAGACGCTATTTACGGCGTTTGTGTGGGCTGAAAAACAAAATAATCAGAGAGCAATCATGGTCTGCACTACCACCTGCATGTTAGAAAAAAGGCAAAAAACAAACCTTGATAGTGTTGTAGAAGTTTGTTCATTCGAATATCCCAAACCTATAGTGGGTAATAAACCACATAATAGACCTTTCTTATAATGACGTCAAACGCGGAAAGTCGGATGTTACACGAAATTTGATTGGCTCCACAAAACTATCGAGTCAATCAAACATCGTGTAACATCATACTTTCCGCGTTTGACGGCATTATGAAAAAGGTCTATTATTGACATGAACCCAAGAAAACCCACCTGGCGTCAAACAAAGTAATTCATAAAGCAGGTTACTAGAATGAAGCAGGTTACATTAAATTACTGTAATGTTAAATACCTTAACTGAGTTATCTGAACTACCAGTTCCAATGCAAGTGCCGTTGGGATGAAATTCCACTTCGTTGACAAAACTGTAAGAGAGATCGAATAACAGAAACAATTCAACAACCTGTTTTTCCCGCCACCAATTTACGTATATCTTCAAATACATAAGCAGTAATATCAGTGTTATAATTTATAACAATATCATCGTAACCTACCCTCCATGCTCATAAAATGTATGAACACTCTCCTTGCTGTTCCGGTCCCAAAGTCGAACAGTTTTGTCATCACTGGCTGAAACAATCAGCCTCCCATCAGGTGAAAATCTACAAAATCATAAGCAATATATATAAAGAAAACACGAATGGTACATGGCTTATCCTTTTTCCGAGTTCTGACTTTAGCAGACTACTATAGATCTAGTTCAACCGCAACCATACCAGACTAAACACAACCACTGATCATTGAACAAATTATTGAATTAATGCTGTATCCGCTCTGGAATATTAAGTACTGTATCCGCTCTGGAATACATGCATGCAAGGGCAAACAATAATTGAAGAATATTACTGAACACTATATACAATAGACTGACATGTTCTAAAAAAACATTCGCTCACCTAGCGCATCTAACCCAGTTCATATGAGCATTCAGCGAAAATTGAAATTTCTGTCGATGAACTGACCATACCTAAAACAAATTTAAAGTACTTTTCCATGTAAAAAATTACAAAATTACGACTTAAGCTTCTTGTAGGTAAAATAAATAAACACTTTCGCGTTGTTTTTTAGACTTAGGAATCACTTTTGTGTACATATCAAATACCGAAATTTCGTGGCTTGGCCATATCACATACGTGAAATGGTGTTAACTATGCATATATCACGAACATTAAAATTGAAAAATGAAATTTTGTTGTTTGGCCATACAATGGGGGATCGAGTTTACATGCACCTAACAGTTACTGTAACAAACCTTAAGTGATTTATCATCTGATGCAGTAACTAAAAATTGCCCATCGTTTGAGAAATCTACACTTCGTACTGTGGCCGTGTGCGCTTTGAAAACTGTGCTCTCGCCTTTACTGAAAGTGAAGTAGACAAATGAATGAATGAAAGAACCGTTTGGTTTTTAAGTATCAGTTGTGCATCTATTGGGGTAATGGGTTATGACCGCGGTGAGTCTCTAGCAAGATCTGCTACCATTCCTGGTGCAGCCTCCCAAATCCAGGGTTAGAAGTGTTGAAAGGATTGATTGAGAAACGCTGAAGGCAAGTTAAAGACAAGTTGAATCACGGTTAATTAAAGTCAGCTTTAAATTCACTCCATGCGGGACAATTAAATCATCGATCTAAGAGACCACGGTCTAGCGAAGTACGATAGAAATTCACGCATCAATAAATGATGGGGACCACGTACCTCGCTCAACATATCAACACATAAAGAGATATCATAAAGTAACTATTACTGTTACCTTGTGGAATAAATCAATACTTACACACTAGGCACCCAGAGTCGGACAGTTTTATCACGTGATGCTGACGCAATCAGATGACCAGATGGTGAAAATTTTACAGAGAGAACAGCATCCTATAGCGATTAATAGAATCTTATTGGCTGATCACTGCATGCTCTATTTATAGTTACTTGTCTAAAATGCAGACATAGCTTTTCTCCCAAAGCTTCATGAGTCTGTTTTAGTGTTACTTTATATAGTTATGTGTATAGTCATATTGCTTATAAATATGGTAATGAATACATGAGCACAACACTTCTTTGCCTCTTGTATGTAAAAATCGGTGAGTAAGCAAAGCAATCTTCACCACAAAAATATACGGTAAACACTTATATAGAATACTGCCTTCAGTACCTTGTGTCCAACAAAACGATATGCTCGAAGATGGGGTTTAAAGTGCCAGATCATCAGACATGAATCCATTGAACCACTGACTATACATAAATGTTTAGGATATGAGTGTATCTTTATTGATAATTTATATAGCAGCACCTCATCTTGCATTGTGTGCACATGCAGAATAAAAATTATGGCAGTAATTTAGTCATTCTCATGGTAGAAGATTTAACTTGTTAGTGGCAAGGACCAGGGTATATATAGACTGATAGACATATCATATAGGTACAGTAAATAGACAAAATCACTATTCTTACAAATTTTCAATTCAAGTTGAACAAAGAGAGGAAAGGCAGTTAACACAAGGCACCAAATTTGGAAGGATATAGGTTGAAATATTTGGAAATTTTTAGTACTGTATCAGTTGGGAAAAGTGTTCACAGCTCCCTCGCTAAAAAATAGGCCTGTAGGCCTACAAGTTTATGCTTTTTTTGCATGAATCTAATACACAGTCATTCTGTAATTTCATCTGTAATTTCATTGTTTTTCAAGTTTCAATTTCATTGTTTTTAACTGTTTTTAAATTGGACTATAAACAGCTTTTGTACAGCTAGCCCTAGGAGTGTAAAACTGTAGCCCATGTAAAGTGCAAACCTACCAATTTGCTTCATATTTGGATTGAAATCAACAGATGTCACTATATCCCTGTGTCCTTTGAAATGTCGCTCCATCGTTGGATCCTCCTGGAATAACATTTATACACATGCAATGAATGTCTGCAGTCATATTGTGTTTTGTCACGCATACATACATAATTTTGTCTTGATAATTAGAAAGGTTTTGTAGTGTGTATGTGTGTTTACCGTTGCATACAAAAGGATTTAATTATTAAGGATACTTCTGACACATACTTTGCAAACTCTATACATATATACATCTATGCATTTTATACTTACCAAGCTTGATGCCATACTTAAATAGCGAATGTAAAGGCTTAACAGGTCTAAAGTTTCATACAATCTTTATAAACAATTATTTCAATTTTCAAATATGGCGCTCAACAATATCATAGCGACAATTATAATTTCATGTAAGGATAATTATAAGGGCTTCGGTACAGTGAATATAAGTATGACTTTAGTGTACTTCTACAGTTTAATTTGATGCTAAAATTAGAATTCTTGCTAGGAAAAATTACTTTGTAGAAGAAAGGGGTTATTCGTAAACTACTTGGGCGGTCATTTTTAATATATTCTTTGTGGGGAGAAAGTCAGAATTGATAGCGAAATGGAAGTTGCGAAATATTAAAAGAGCTCGCAGGCTCGCTTTCAATATGGCGGAATTGATAAGATATCTTTATTAATATGTTGAATATTTAGTAAAGTAAACTAAAGCGCATGAACAAAGTGATAACTGCTAAGCAGTTGAAAAAGAACTGATGTCCTGTTAAAATATGGAAAGGAAACACCTATACAAAACCGCGTCAGAAACGGTGGACAAACTTCGAACGAGAAAGCGAGAGGAACACAGTGATTTAAGAAAAGAAAAACGTGATAAACTCCTAAGTTTAAAACGATTAAGATATGACGAAAGTAGTGAAGATAGTAAACATTTTAATTTAACCGTCGAAGACGTTGTTTCTTTGTCCAGAACTATACAAAAGCGTGGGTCAGATAGTTTAGATACTTTAAGAAAGTTGAAAAGAGGTTTTACTCAAGACAGCTTGATTGTGGATACGTTTGTGACCCAGGATGGAGCCTTACAGTCTTTAGTTAGGTTATTAACAGGTAATAGCTTAAAGTATATAGGGCATTTTAATTGTCAGCAATCCATCAAGACAATAAATTATAAATATGACAAAATCCACCTGTCGATACCATATATTACCGACACAGTGGAAGTTCCTGGAAGAACGCGATTTGCACTGCCGTTGGCATAAGTTCCGAAAACAAATCATGCCATTGCATGTCGTTTTTCGAATACAGCCAGTGTCTTGACTTTTGAATCAACACACTTGCTGTATTTGAAATGAGTTCACCCTGGTTTTAAATAGTTCACAAAGAGGTCGTGCTTCAGATGAAGCTCCTTTTTTGTCCGGATACATCGATCTTAAAATCACCCACTTTTCGAAGAGGTGGTCGGTCTGATTGAAACCGGATAAGTTTTCTGCCAGCTTTGCCGACTATAAAACGCGCAAAATTGTGAAAACAACCAGGATACGGCGTATATAAATAGTTTGCTCGTGAATAGTTGGAAGAAGTAAAACTATAATACACCCCAATCACAGGTTAGGCATTACCAGAAATTTGCGACATGATAATTTGCATGTATACTAATTTGCATTTAACTTTCAGCATAATGGTCTTCAACTTTTACTATAAAATACATTAGGTAATTATACAAAACTTAAAAATGCCATTGCCCTAGACCTTGCCCACTGTTTGCCGACCTCTAGATCGGTAGAGCAGCTGTTTGGAAACGTTTTGGTGACAGAATTCTTTAGCTTGGGCATTTCTGCATTCTGCCAAGTTTAAAGATATATTGCTCAAAGTTTTGTCCGTGTTCTGTCCACGAACTTTTAAAATCGCTCACATTGATTCGAATATTTCGATTCAGATAGTTGATAAATTGACGTATAATGCACCAAAAAAATAGTTGAAGATATTGTCTTTCGTATTTGTGTATAAACTTTCTTGTACGGCTCGGATTTTTACTGCAATCACTTTAAAAAATATTATCAGTCTTATCTGTAACTTGAATAATACGAAGGCTATATACCCATTTGTTCACAATCATTTGGCCGAACGTAGAAATACCTAAGGTAAGTAATTCGATCAATAAAACGTTAGGAAACGGCTGTTTTATTGATCCAGAGGTCGGCAAACAGTGGGCAAGATCTAGGTCAACAGCATTTTTAGATTTTGTGTATTTACTATATGTATTTAATAGTAAAAGTTGAAGGCCATTATGCTGAAAGTTAAATGCAAATTAGTATATATGCAAATTATCATGTCGCAAATTTCTGGTAATGGCAATTTAGTGAGGCATACAGTGCGAATGGTACCGTTTTTTTTGCATTTCCAAAGGCATTGATGTTGATCTTCAAACTGAGGCTGCGTGGTGTTTCACTAATCTCGCGGGATCCACGCAAAAACATGCAGTACGCATTCTGAAAGCAAGCGGTGCTTACCTAATCACATACCTCAGAGGAAGCAACGTGTTACTACAGGACCTCTGTGCATGGACACTGGGAAACCTTGCTGGAGATTGTGAGGAGTGTAAAAAGATCATTATGGATCAAGGTGGTATAAACCCCCTTGTTCACTTACTTAGAGTAGGTATATGGCTACATTTAGCCTAAATAAACTAAAGTACGTGTCTAAACCAACGAGAATCACAAATTCTACAATCATGCAATTTCTACATCTACGACCAAATAGTTCGAATTAAGTTTAGTAGAATAGTAACATTGTACCGTGTAGGCGGAACTCTAAATAATTTTTGAACTCAGTAACATGTGCACAATATATTCACCGATAATATTTTTCACATATATTAAAGATATATTTAAAATGTTTTAGAGTTCGTTTTCAAACGTGGTGCAGTCAGCTTCATTTGCTATCTGCAACCTGGCTAGAAGTAACGATGAACAAATCTTTGAAGACTTGCGAAAATCAGAAATTGGCACAATCGTTTTTAACCTTTGTAAAAATATCTCAACTTCACCCGAGGTGGTAACTGAAATGGCCTGGATTCTAACGTACATGAGTGCAAGTACTGAGAGTGTAGAGTATCTTTACTCCTGTGGTATTAGCGTTGCATTTGTTGTACAATTATTGGTGAAGTGTATTGAATTTCCTGACTCCGTTCAAGTTGTTACACCACTCGTCAGAACTTTAGGTAATTTGTTAAGTCTAATTGTCAACTATGAGTTTCATTGATATATGGTATACTGTTTGCAATGCCAGCTGTTTACATGTGATTCTTTAACTGTGATCGAACAACTCTCGAACTTTCGTATCTTCACCAGGAAATATGTGTAGTGGTCCAGATCAACGCGGCGAAGAGGCACTCGGCGGTGGTGTTTTGCTAAAATCTATAACGTCACTGCTTTCATCATCCTGTCATCACGTGAGAAAAGAAAGTTTATGGCTGCTATCCAACCTTGTTGCTGGCTCAATGCAGAATGTCAGCGATGTGTTGAATGCAGGTTTACTGCCGGTGGTTGTCCAAATGTTAGATGGAGCTTTCGACATTCGCAAAGAGGTTAAGAGTTACTGTAGAAAATACTTTGATAATTCTTAAGTTTTCACAGTAAAGTTTTCTAACTAGAGAGCTCACTTTAGTCCAGTCGGATAAATGCGAAATGTCGTAACAAGTATAATAAAGTTCTCTTTAAAATGATTAAGTTTTAACGTTTAAGTTTCTATTTTAGAGCATTATTATTCTTTTAAACATCGCACACAAGAGTGAAGAAAATTTTCGTGAAATCATAAATCTCGTCACAATCGAAAAGTTCCTGCTACTTCTAAAATCACAAGATAACGAACTCTGTTTTTTGGCTTTACAATTTTTTGAAATGATGCTTCGAACTTTCCCTGAAAGTCGCGAGGCTTTCGAAAAGACACAAGGCGTCTCCCATCTGGAAGCTTTGCAGTATAACAGAAACGATCAAATATGCCAATGTGTTAATGATTTAATGACGGCATATTTTGACGCATAATGAGATTGTATAGCTTTTATACATAGGATTACAAAATATGATACTTCTTAAATCATTCTCGTAAATAATGGTTGAAATAATGTAGAAATGTGTTTTATTTGTCTCTCGGGGGTAGGATCGGGGAAATGTACTCCCCCTTCAATTTTCAGTGGTAAGAACAACCTGGAGGGACCCTGGTTGCCCATCCGAATTTTTCTTCATTTAGAAAATGCCCCCTGAAAGTTGAGTTCTCTTACATTTAACTTGACAAGCAATAAAATACTCCTCCCAACCTCGCAGGCCAGGCTCTTCTACCTACGCTTCAAGTCGTCCTTACGAGATCAGAAATTTGTAGACCCACGATGCCCGCGCACAGGCTGAGATGTGAGGTTATTGTTACGTTAATGCGTTTCAATAAAAAAATTACTCAAAATAATGGATCAACTTGTTGAATAAACCATTTTGTAAACTTATCACATATCTAATCTTGGATGCGAAAAAAAAATATTAAAAAACCTCCCCGGCGGGGAATCGAACCCCGGTCTCCCGCGTGACAGGCGGGGATACTCACCACTATACTACCGAGGAACCCGGTGATACCGCCCTCAGAAAAAGGGATTAAAAATGCTCTCTTTTGAATCAAGACAATTTGATGATAACATTATTGAAGTAGAATTTTTGCCCAATTCGTCAGTGAAATATTCACTGACTGTTAACATTAAAATTCGCTAAAACAAAGAAGATATTAATTTTAAAAAAAAGGGAATATCTCCCTTAATTTAAAAAAAAAGGAAAATATCTCCCCGGCGGGGAATCGAACCCCGGTCTCCCGCGTGACAGGCGGGGATACTCACCACTATACTACCGAGGAATCTCGTGACCGTACGTAAAAAATTAATGTACATAACACTATGCTTTGTTAACCATTCTGACTCTCATTTTGAAATCGATCCCCAAGTGTAAAATGATCACAAACAACGTGCTCACAGACGAAGGCAAGCCTCCAATCGTGTTGCAGGCAAATGGAAACAAACTCTAATATTTCTAACTCCAACAGCCAAATCGAGTAAGTAGTAACAATGATTTACAGGATAGTTGTGACATTTTAATTTTTCTATTTAATAAAGAGCCTTTCAGTGCGATATTTCTACGATTACTTTGGAGTTTTGGCACATTTTCAATTATACAACAATGCTATACATTTTTTGAAAAATTCAGGTCCCAGGGGAATAAAAATTGTTGCAAATTAGTTGCATTTGTAACAAATGAACGTCATTTATGGTGAATTAGTAAAATTGGTGGCAAATTAGCCAAACTATTTCGATTATAACGCAGGAAGTGAGCTTCTAAAATGTGTTTAATTTTGCGAGAGCTCCCTTGAATGTTGCTCCCTGTATTTTTTAGCAACGGAGACATTTTGGAAGAGCCGTACTGGGATTGCAGCGTCTGTACCTACAAAAATAATCCTGAATCCTTTAAGTGTCGAATGTGCGACGTACGTAAAGGCACTTCAACTAGGTAAATATGTAGGTGTTTCAGGAATATATTCTAGACAGGCATGTAAATCTGTGCTCAACAGGTGTTACCTATTACTAGTTCGCATGTACGGAATATCTGAAATGTTTTGTAAGATATCGATGGAATGTCGTCTAGAGTAATAAAGTCTAGATAAACTGTGGATAAACCAGGAATGGCTATAAGTTGATTAATAACTAATGGTACTCTACATGGATATAAGTGTAGTTAATAGTGTTAGAATTAGGTATTAAAGAGAATTAAAGGTGCTGGGCAATAGTTTTTATTTAAAACAGATTCATGCCTCATACAGAACTTGTATCAAGGATTACTTATGTAAGAGATACAAGAATAGGTTGGTTTGGCCAGGAAATTACAGGTGGGAAGAGGTGAATAGATTAGATCAAGGGATTAACAAAATATTACTTACCCTACAAGCAGGAGGCTTTGACTATTTAGGTTAGGTAAAAGGAAAATTAGACTTTAGTATGGAATTGATACAAGGAATCAAGGATCGTATTAATCTCACTAGAAAACCTCGGCTCAACCAACAAATTGTTGCCCAACAAGTAGTGCAAAAATTTTCACCAGCTACTGTAAACGGAAAGAAACTGAACGGAAAGAAAATGCCTCGAAAAATAAGGTTTGCATGTTATTTATTCATTTTTAAGAAGGAATTTTGTCAAATCAATATTATGTTCATTTATGATAAAAATAATCATAAATGAACAAACAGGCAATACAGCTCAGTTAATAGGCCATCCTAAAATAGACATTGTTGATGTTTTAAGAACTATATAGAATGCATTATTGACTGTGACAGCCAGTAGTTCAATGCTTAGCAGAAATGGTTATTTCATCCCGTAGGCCACGTCTAAAGAATGTTGACCGCAGCAGTGCACAAGAACTTTCGGTAACTGTTGGAAACATCACAGTCACTATAACAGACTATAAACTGTTACCTGATAATACATTATCTGCAATATCAGACTCACTATCTCATTCAACATCCAGTGAATCACTTGATAGTTCAGGTGTTTCTTCAGAACAGGTTGCAGAATCTAATGGTAGCAAGAGAAATGGCACCATGTCTTTAGAGACCTAGCAATCATTTACCTTTCCACATTTGATAAAAAATGTAAATAGTAATTATTTATTGATTTATTTTTACACCAAGTCACCAATATGAAAGAATATCAAATATATTTGTAAATATTGAAATTACCTGTTTTATAATGTTCGGTGACTGTTTTCTTATGCTGCCAAAACTTTGCATAGGTTATTTAATGTTTCGGTTGTTTGCACTTTTGATTTTGTGGATAAAATCAATTGTGGACGATGGCAATGCCCGAGGGCATCTTGCAATATCTCTGGAGTAGAACGACTCTCTGACTCTGGTCTCATCGCCCAATTTTCAAAGTCAAATGAGTATAAATTTCACCGCCGTGACCACTATAGCAAACTATATTGTTCAACTTTTGGGGAATAAATATAAAAGATTGGCCGAAAAAAACTTCCCGAGAAAAATAGAACCGCGATTCGCGAAGAAAATAACCCATGCTTGCGAGTTGCGACGGAGGTGACCTTAGGACAGGCCAGTGGCCAACAGACTTTTTCATAATGACGTCAAACGCGGAAAGTCTGATGTAACACGAAGTTTGATTGGCTCGAAAGTTTTGTGGAGCCAATCGAATTTCGTGTATAATCAGACATTTCGCGTTTGACGTTTATAAGAAAGGTCTATTGCAAAGTCAAAATCAAGACGTTTGGTATTAGGATTGCTAGAACAATTTTTTTTGTCAATTTATAAGCACATTTATTCCGGCAGTTCTTCAAAATATTTGCGCCAAATCCTTTCTCAAAAAAAACAGAATTCCAAAAAGAGTTCAACCTTCCTCCGGCAGGATTTCAAGTTTTGAAAACCTTCCTCAAAATGACCTTACGTCACTTCAAAATGACGTACGTCACTAAGTCAAGTCAAGTGGCAACCGGCAGAAAGAAATCTTTTTTTTTGGTACATGCATGTAATCAATTAGAGACTTTGAGTGTTTAACTTTGAACCTTCCTCACAAACCTCATTCAAAGCAAACCTTCCTCACGGGTGGTAGTGTGGTGCCTGCGTACACGCAGCTTTTTTGCAACTCAGAAACAAAAACGGCGACAGACATGCCTATGCATGTTACCGAACTTTTGCGTAAATATTATCGTGTATATATATTTATTCCAGAGAGAAATTACAACTATTATACAGGATCTCTGGAAGGAACTCTATTCTACCTAATTCGGGAAATGATACTGAAACAGGAATATTTCGTTTAATAATAAATAAAATACACTTTGAATATCAAAAATACATAATTTACATCTATTCAAAATTCTATTTCTTCCGACTCATTACCATCGTCACCTTCGACGGCTTCGTCTTGTGGTGAATTTTCACTGTGAAAAGTGAATGATCGTTAAACGAACGTCATGGGGCCTTATTCAAGAGCATGAGTTCACGCAGGTAGAAAGATAGGATTATTAATGTTTATAATAAATACTAGATACCTGCATGGTTACCATGCATTATTTGGACTGTCCTAAAAACTAATTCGTCCATGCATGTATAAACCTTTCCGCCGTATTTTATCTCCCAGTGAGTGCATTAGCACGTCAAAGAGTGCTTACGAACTTATATCATCGCTTATATTCTAATACAAATGAAGAATATCACACATTATGCCAAACAAATCTTATCATTTAAATTTGGCATAGTTGGTTCCTGCTATTGGAAAGAAGTATGATAAGATTAAGGCAAGTCTGGTGTTATAATTACGAGTTTCAGGTTCAGAAGTCACAGATTTGAAACTGATATGATCAAATATTGTATTGTTGATGTTACCCCATGCATACACTAAGTGTACCTCTAAAAAGGGTGGAGGACAGCGGCCGGTTGTACGAAGGCTATAGCGGATTTTTTCAATCAGTGCAAAAATGCTTGAAAGATAATAAAATTGTAGATACATGTATTGACCCAACAACGAATAAAGACAATCATTACTTCAGGAATGGGGCGATTGAAAAACCTACTATCCGGTGGATAGCACTGTCCAATCTTCGTACAACCGGCCCCTGAGGAATAGAATAACGCGACAGTATATAGCAAAAAAATGTGAACGTACTATTTAGCAGGACTTGCTGGACCGAAGGCTGGTGGCAACATACTCACACTGTCTGAGCTCTATTAAGACAAACAATGTGCATATGAATGTCTGACCAAATGTAATATACATAAAGGTCGTTTATAACAGTATAGATCCCCTGGCAAGCAACAAATTAAGGTGGCTATAAACTTACTTCGTTGGAGTGATTAGACTCCTCGTCTAGTTCACCAATTTGTGAAAGCGACGGAGGATCAGGAAGGATAGCCGAGACGCACGGCTCCATTGGGTCATCACATATATCCACTAGTCCCGGATCCTCCTCAATTGTACTACAACTAACATCACAGGGGTTTTCGTTTCTCTTCTCCGATAATTTCGCGCTGCTACGGGTTACCCGTTTTTCTACAGACCTCGCAGATGAACGTGTCATAACTGGTTCAAAATCCGCTCCGCTGCTGTTACTGGCTGTATCGTCGTCCGAGGGCAACAATTTCAGCTCGAAGCGTTCTTTACTAGTAGAAGGGGAATTCTTCTTCTTGCTAGGAGTAGTTCTTCTGCTTTTGATATCTAAAGAAAGGGGAAATACTTCAGAGAGCCAATTCATTTTCTGCTACGCTAAGGTAATTCAATCTGAACATTTTCTGTTGTTGTTGCTGTATCTGTACAAGTGTCCACCTGGAACTCACCTTTTTCTCTTTGTGCTTTCCTTTTTCTATTTTTCACATCATTTATTAGTCGTGTAAATTCATCTTCATTTTGAGACACTGGAAAATTGGAGAAGTTGAAAGGTTTGCCACATTTAAAAAGGGTTTTTTTTATCAGCTTTTGAAATCAAAGATCAGTACTATATGAAATTTCATGATCGTATATTTAACGGATTTAATGTATTCTACCTCGAATCGTTTTACTGATTCAAATAACTCAGCCATTTTTGAGTAATAGGCGTATGTCTCTAAATAAGCAATACCGATCCTGGTTCGAAACTTATCTATTAACATGAACATTATCTGGTTGCATGACGGAAATTTAGGCTGTTCTTTACTATACATGGCTAGAAAAAACAGGCAAAGTACTTACTGTATTCAGATTTCATTTTGTCAATATCCTCTTGATTTTGTGCACGTTCAAAATTCAACTGTATGAAGGAGACAGTTGCAGTTACTACTTGAAAGTTGTTTAGAAAGTCAGGTCGATAAATTTGCCTCAAGTCGGCCTCTCAAAGATAAAATTATACCTCTGCCCGTTTTTAAAGTGACAGTTGTCAGATATATACCACTAAGAGGAAGTCTACAAAACAGCCCAATGTAAAACATACTTTATCGCGGTTTTCAACCGGTTTGTTTTTCTTCCTTTCACCTTCTTCAACAAGACGAACAATCTCAGGAACTGTGTGAACAAAAACATTTGTTTGTTCAGAACTTCAGATCAATAAGGTTTAACACGAGTCATGTTTAGTCATGAGACATGTGGATTGTCGAGATCCGATGTACACGTGAGAGAGATGACGTCGTGAGAACTAGCCATTTGCCAACCCACGAGATTTCGACCCACCCTATGCGAACTGCGAGGTGAAATGAGCCTCCGTACTGACCATACATCGTATTGCCCGCATCTTTATTCATTTGCATAGGGTTGTTCTAAGACGACGGCAATGAGGCGCTAGCGATGTAGGTATGTCAGCAGAATATCATTTAACTTACGGGTGGTGATAAAAATAGAGAAAAATGGGTACGTTTGACGTACATGAAAAATATGATAGGTTGATATGCTACTGCACTACATTTATGGACGCATTAAAATATCGTACAAATGCAAATTTTGTAGTCTAGGCTAAACTTGACGTTTGATACTGACCTGACTTTGGTTTAGGTTTATTGCACTCACTATTGTACATTATTGTAAACTCTTGATGTCGTTTCATCAAAGTCTGAAATCATAGTTCACTATATATAATGGACATACAGTGATTGTATGTGTGAAGTGCAAAACTACATCCACTTTACCACAAGTGCAGTAAAAATAGCTACACACCTGCCTATCACCCTTTATAGATAACCCATAATCTTTTAGTTTGCGTTTCAGTTCAGTGGTAGATAGCAGGGTGTAAACCAGTTTGTTCATTGGCTTTTTTCGTACTACCTGTGGACTGGAAAAATTACTGAACATTGGTCTTTTTATTTAAGAATCAGGGAAAGTGACACAATCCCCTAGATTTTGTTGTTGTCCCCAATCAGAGACATGAGACTAGGTTTGTTTGCCAACAAGATACTTACATAAATGAATTTGCACCAATGTGTGATGGTCTTTCAGAAGTGCTCTGATCTTGTTTTGCAGGTGAACTGCAAAGTTGATACAATGAACATAAAAATGGTATTCCAAATAAAGGAAATTTGGACAAGCATTTTGACCTGTGCTAATGATTAATGTATGTATAATCATATATATACCTTCTAAGATTATTTTTTCTGTCTTTACTTGTTAGGCATGAATCCAAATGAAAATTGATTTTTGTTTGAGCCATCATTTGGTCACATACAGGACACTTAACTACAAAAAGTAAAGTATTGAATCTGAGTGATAATATTATTCAAATAAAAATTCATATATATAAATAGAATTATAAAAAAACAATAATTGGTTGAGTGGATTGCAGGATTTATGCATACGGTACAGTATAAATAAAAAATGTTTGACGAAAATGCAGTTTTAATCAATCATGCAATTACATACCAAGATCCTCCTCTTTTCCTTTAGCATTGTCCTCCCTTATTCCAACATGGCTAGATGAGGTATTCTGTGATTTCATTGGGGTAGGGTTTTCAATTATTGATATTTCATCACTGTCAGAACTTTCCAGGGCACAATTTGAACGTTTACGTTTCTTTTTGTCAGCTGGTGACCATCTATCATTGCTGGAAGACTTGTCTGAGGCACTGGAGTCTTTGCGATGTCGCTTTTGAGATGAAGTTAATGACTGAGTTGTCTTGTCCTTACAAGTGGAAGTCAAATTAATAAACAATTATTTTCCATTGTTGATTACTGTTATAACTTCAACTGCTACCATGCAGGCATATTTCATAGATATGAATTATGCTACAGACTTAAACTATTGAATCATTTTTATACTATAAAATTTATTTCTAAGCTCCTTTGTAATTCCAACAATATTATATTAATTTAACCTTTTGAAAAAAAAATCTGGACTTATCGTTATCCTCTTTTTTCTTAACTCCTTTTCCAACGCCCTTGTTTCTTATATTTTTAACATCATGATTGCAACTGTCTTGGACAACTTGCAATAGTTCACTCCTGCAGTTGAAAGAGAAAATAGGGCATAAATTTACCAAGAATAGGCCCTTTGCATGTTAGACTACTTTTTGATCTGTGCAAAATAATCCAATCAAATCACCACAGCTGAAAAGAGCGTACTAAAATTAGTAAAAATGCAAAGTTTGGTTGCGAAATTTCGTAAAATACGGAAAATATAGCCTTGCAAAGTTTGCAAATTTGTATACTTTAGTTTAACGCACGCAAAAAGTTACCATTCGGGCCCGAAGTGGTAACTTTTGCTTGTTAAACAAAAGTATACAAATTTGCAAACTTTGCAAGGCTATATTTTCCGTATTTTACGACATTTCGCAACCAAACTTTGCATTTTTACTAATTTTAGTACGCTCTTTTCAGCTGTGGTGATTTGATTGGATTATTTTGCACAGATCAAAAAGTAGTCTAACATGCAAAGGGTCTATTGGGCATGAATTCCACATTAACTAAGAAGTGCACAAACAACTAACAAATTGCTTAACGTCTGAAAATGATGTAGAGTAATATATAAAATAATATAATACCGAATTTTAACAAAACTCCTCACAATCTCATCAATTATTCTATTGTTCTCCAGCTGGGTGTCTTGAACACTCTGCACAATAGCAAAATGATATGTTATATAACTATAATAAATTCTATATATTTGAAACAAATGTACAGTACTCTATGTACAGTTTGGTCACTTACAATGCCACATATAGGACATTTTGAACTCACATTCAAATATCTTCTTATACAAAGAGAGCAATCTATGGGTTAAAATTTCTTAAAAATAATTTTTTAAAAAAAAATGATTGCAAAAAATAAAAAACAACTAAATATATGCATTCTATTAGTAGGAGCTGGCTTCACTCACAACTATGTGAACAAGATGGAATGAAAGTTGTACTTTTGAAGAATTCACCACAGACAGAACATCGCAACAAACTGTCAATTGTCTAAAATGTCAGAAATTTAAAAATTTAGTCAATTATGATACTATTTTAAGTTAGCTGGCTACTGTCGACCAGTCTATGTAATCAAAAATAAAAGCCAACTCACAAAATAATATGCAACCCACTAAAACCCATCAAACCCACTCCAGCCATTGTATTAACCTCATATCTAGGGCAATCTCTCCTTGGTACCACGTTGCCAACTTATTAAATTATATTATACATTATTATATTTTGAAGCCTGCTACACATCCTGCACTCTTAGGCTGCATTCAGACTGAGTGCCCAGCACCAGTATCCAAGGTCAAAACTGTTTCAAAAAACATGCTGAGCATGGTGCCCTTGCTGAGTACTACTGAGTCTGGACTCTGGTGTAATGCCAGTTCTTAGGCACCGTGCTCAAATCATTGTGTCATGTGCAACTTAGGCACCAGAAAAAGCGATGTGCACCAGTGCTTGGCACAATCTGAACACAGCCTTATAATTATTCTCTGTACTGGGCATGAACCTACACAGCACACTGCCTAGTGTCTATAGGGCTATAGAATATTTAAATGAAGTCAAACGTGAAAATAGAATACATCTCGTCTCAAAATTGAGATCTGGTCTCTAGGCTGTCAGCAAACGGCGTATAGAATGGGTTTATAAATTTAGTTGCTGTACCATTTGGACTTGGAGTACATTCTTCACTTTCTATTTCTATAATTTCTAACCCTCACGTCGTACCTTACCTGCAATTCCTTCCACGATTTCGGCCAATCTTTCGGACTAGTTAAATTTGGTATTAATTCTGTCATATCATTCATTTTATTAACGCGCAGAATTACGCAAAAGAGAATAAAAGAGTACAAATTAGAACGAATATATTTGGATTTTTGCAAAACGCGCCCAATCACATGTGCATTTGAGACAACTGCGAGAAAAATAAATCAACAAAAAGACTGGGACTAGTGCAAGACCGCCAAGACGCCATGTTATTAATTTAGGACGAAGTTGGCCAAGTTGGGCAGGCCGTGGTTTTTGATGGAATATTAAATTGTTCGATTCTTTTTATTTCGGTGAGCTTGAACGAGGCAGAACAATTTGACCAACATCAATTGAAAAGAAAGTTAAATAAGGTTTTTTGTTCAACCTCGTAGTCGTAGAAAACCAAATTTATTTTTTCGTTTTGGACGATTTTTTTAAAATGGTGCAACTGAAAGATTGAAAGATTGAAAACGAGTTAATTCTACCTTACATAAAGTCAAATAAAAAGCTGAACAGTTATATTCCAACAGAGACATCTTTCCAACAGATAGCTCTGTCGCTCGCGGGAGCGGTGCTTGGAACGATTGCTGTTGGAGCCAGGTTGAGATCCCGACGGTATCTTAAGCTGAACCCCCAACCCCACCCGCCGCCGCCGAGAGCTAACCCTTCACAGTTATGCAGTAAAATTATGTTTTAAAGTTATATTAATAGGGAATAGAGTTTGATTGAGTGAGAGACATCAATCGTTTAGCACTGCGAGCTGGAGTTATTGAGTCGAAAAGAAAATCTTCACTGATTTAAAGTATAGTTTTCAAATCTCAACTGAATTGATCTAATGTACATCATTATGTCTAATCATGTGTAATGTGTACATCAAAATGTGCCGGTCATCTACCCATTTACAAATGCTGACGATAATCCACGACAATGACAATTTATTTAAAATCTTTTTACTTAATTTTTCCTCCCAAAAGAATTTAAGCTATTTTCGTTCGTTTTTGTAGCCAAGCTACGAGTCAACGACAACAAAACTATAACTGTTTTCAGTAATTTCACATATCTTATTCACACGTATAGTAGCTATATCTTATATATTATGGCTTTTCATGCTACTTTTTGTCGCCTAAAAAAGCAAGAATCATCTATGCATCACATGAACTATAAACTTTTGAGTATAAAGTGTCTGTGTGAAAATTACTGGGGTGACCTATAAAACTTTTGCACAAACTTTTTAGTAAATTTTCAAATAAAATATACAGCTAGCATGGGGGTTTATTAGCCTGGATTAACGATACTGTTCAAAGAAGATTGAACGGATTTGAGATCAACAGGTTTAAGTGTTTTACACTTAGCTTCATTGGCGTAACCAGATTCAATCATTTGCTCTGTGATATCCTGAGAGTCACCTTTGTCTGATTCGTAGAGGTTCACAATCATTTTCTTGTTCATCCCACTAAATTACAAACATGTTAATATTTTGTGAGTTTGCATGGTAACATCAATAAGTAAATTAGCTTGTAGGTACACCACGCATACTATCTCGCATTGTATAACGGTAAACTGATGGTAATTTTGCCATTAACACCATTGATTTTTCTAATCAGTAACCTGAGTCTCAGGTGTCCGTGTATGCATGGTATACTCAGGCTATCTAATCAATAATCATTTATAGCGGTATTACGCAAGCCGATAAGCCTAATGAATAATACATGTGCTTTACTTCATATTTCACAGTGTCTATTTCTGTTTTGCTTTTTTATAACGTAGAATTTACACATTGGACTTACATGGATAAAATTTGACAAACTAATACTTTATCCTCCACCAATGACTTGAAGTGTTGTCTAAAGAATTGATGATATTACAGATGATCGAAACTATATTTCAGCTGTTTAGCCTAAAAAGCTGGTATATTATATGTGTCTATGCTTGTTTACAAGCAAGTGAAGCAACCAAGACAAGTTTTAATATACAAACTTTGAGTGATTTTAAATATAATTTCATAGCTAATAAGTATTTGGAACCTTGAGTCCTCTGTCCAGTTTTCAGATTTCGGCGTGATATTTGCCAAGCAGCATTCGATAGATTGGAACGGCAGATGAAGAAACTGAGGCATTATGGGACAGATATTGCTTCTATCCACCCAATCCGCGATTCCGTAATCGACAAATAATATCTATACAATATTTAAGCAATCAGCAAGTTTTGAATTTCAGAGAAACACAAATTGTTAACACATGTATAAAATTAAATAATCAAAGGCAAAACGTTGACTACCTTATACTTCTCAACCCCTTCCTGACACACTTGTCCTCTGTACCACCTGTTATCCTGTCCTGATCTCAACGCCACCAGTTCACCCTCAGTCGGGGGAACCAATGAACGCTCGCGTCTGAACATCTTCGAATAAAACTCACTGCAGAGATATTTTAGGTGTAAAATGAATTTCATGGGAAGTTGAATTAATTCACTTGAGTCACAGTGGTGGATGAAATAATATTTCTGGGAGTTAGATATTACCTCATTTCTTTCATAAGATTATTAAAATCCTTTAAATTTTCCTCGCCGGATGTTTTTTTGCCACTTTGACCTAAGAATATTTAAGAGCTTGATATGAGAGATAACAGAACCACCGTATCACACAATATTAGTAAAAATAAAGAATAAATAGCATTCGGCACTGACCACTGTTGCCAGCAAAACAAATCAAAGGACTGCAAAATATTCGACTTAACTTACTTTGGATTCTTTGAGTAGAGAGATTTTCAATTCCGAATGGCAACTGGACCCAGAAATGAGCGGGATTGTAAATAGCTGTAATCTTAACTAGTACCCATGCTCCGATATCCGGTAACTTTGGAGGATTGGCAGTAGAGCCGTATATTATAACTTTCTCAGATACATCTAATAGGGGAAATGAGAAAAAATACCTTAAACAATGCGCGGAATACTGAATTGTTGGACCTTTGAGATCTCTTCAAGAATGCATTATATATATACCTTGTTCAATGTGTTTATCTGGACATGTACTTCCCCGATAACAACCATATCTGGTGTGATAAAAGCGGCATATCTTGCCACGATTCTCCTCTAAAAAGAAAAATTTTCACAATTGATATGGAATAGTCCCACCCGTTTCGCATTTATCCTGGATTTATTCTACGAACGACTTATGGCGTTTCACAGAGGCAAACTGGAAGCACTCTTTTAAGACGACGTTTAACGTATGTTTTAATAATATACCGTATCCTGTAATTGCGACGTCTAGGTTATCAGTCTGAACACTGTAGGCGTTACGAAATGATTTGAAGTCGTGTGTCGATGGACTCCATGCGTCGAGTAACTGTGTCGTTGGACTGGTTGGACTAGATGGGGAACTGGGATCTAACGGAAGAGGCGACTTTAACCTTGAATCTAAAGAAGAAAAAAACTGTGCTTCGATCTAAAAGCATCATACCGGAGTGTCGAACTTAAGAAATGCTGTTACTGCATGAATACCTGAGGGTGTTTCATAAGACGAAAGCTCGCTTTGAAGAACTCTGACAACCGGGATATCGTCCAGATCTGGTGCTTTACTGTCAAACCCGTTATTTGTGTTTTCTGTTACAGGGATGCTCGCCTCATCGGGAATTGAAGAAACTACAATAATGTTATTGTAAAATGTAAAATAAAAAATAAAACAGATCGAATTACTAGCGAATGCATTCAGCTCAAACACAAACCAGCGCAACTACATTGGGTCGTTTTCAAGGGGGTGTGACATACTAGCTTCACTCTTAGATACACCGGGCTTGTAAACATTTTTCAAGAGGTTCAGGACAAGAGAGTCACAAAATTATTTGAGCTCTAAAACACACGTGGAAAATATAGTATTTCTGTGTAACTGACATCACATAAACTATTGTAACATACCTATTGGAAAGCCCTTGATCGAATTAGACGAAGCATACTCCGCTTTAACCATCTCTGCGTTAATAAAACAATCATTTTCATTGCTGATATCATAAAGATTTAGTTTTAACACAGGTCCGAGATTAGGCAAACTGCATTCCCCAGTCCGACTATAATTCGTGATATTATTCAACGTTGCTGAATCCCAAGGTACAACATAACCGACTAACTTTCGAGCATTCTTGGTCAGGGATCTAAAATAATCCGTAGCACGTTCAGACCATGACGGTTTCAGAGTTACCGCCTCTACGCCTGATAATACTTTCTCAAAGAGTTCCACAGCTGTGTCGGAAAATAGCGAAGGTTCTTGGTAGCTCATCGCGATCTCATCGGAGATGGATGAACGCAGACGATCTTTATGATTGTGTCTCTCGATTTCGGGGATTAGTCCGAGTACGTCCATATCCCCGGTTAGAATTTCGTCCCCGGAATCCTCGTCCCCTGCAGCTATGGTTATTTCTCTTGAACGACTTTTTCTGTGTCTACGCACTCGTCGCCTTGACCGCATGTTCTTGCTATCTTCATCTTGTTCTGCCGTGAAAGCTATAAACGGAAATGGTCAGCATGCAATTTAAGGTAGCTACATTTGTAAAGTATTTATGCCGTATATAGGGTGAATATCGTAACTATCGTTACGTCTAAAATGCATCCATCACAAATATGCACAGCATATAGGCTCGTTTACACTTGCTGTGTTTTTCTTCTTTCAAACGACGTGAACGAGTAATTGTTTTCTATTATTATAGGAAATCAACAATCCAATTTATCGTTGGAATAGGGATACGTATTAGTTTTAGTTTCTAGAATAGAATGATCTATACGAAGTCGAATGCCTTAATAATCAACCGCCGCGAATGCCGCGATAATCAACGAGAACAATTCGTACGGTTGATCCATTGCAGTCAGTGGCTTCTGCCATTTATAAATTTATTTGATTATAAGCGCGTGACAATTTGATGATCCTGGGATAACACCAAATTATTCGGGGTCTAGGACTTCTAGTTCTAATATTGCTCTGTATACTCTCATAATAAACGTAATTTTAGCCGATTACATGACGGACCGCAGGAAGACTAAAGGCACATGGAGTGTAATTAACATAAAAGTTTGGTAGTGGCGAAATTTACATCTCTCAAAAGTAGAATTGCATTGCAAGTTACAAGAAAAATTGCACCGTGTAATATGGCCTTAACTATCAGAAGTTACGATGTTGCTGGGCACCTTGGAGACTGCATTACAGGGCTCACAACTCACAGACATACCCGTCTTGAAGACATCACTATCCAGATCAGCTTGTTTAATGCTTGGGTTGACATCAGCCAACGAACAGCGAATGGCTTGAGCAGGAATTGACATAAACTGGGGAAGCAATTCCTTAACATCTCCAACAGTAACTTGCTCGATATTACCAAAGTCAATATAGAATACTTCAACTGTTGTAACTTTCTCGCTAGAGTCCCCGAAGCAACGGACCTGTAGAACAAGGCCTCGGTACCAGTTCCCATCTGCTGAAAACCTGGCGCAACAAAAATCCCCAACACAAGGCGAGAAAATGTCAGAGTCTTTAGATTCCAGATCTGTAATAAAAATGTTAAATACACATCAAGTATTAAATCAAGGGTTTACATTTTCGGTCCATCAACATAACACAATGTTGTTGCTCGCTTGAAACGTGTTTAAACAAGGTATTACAGGAAAACAAAGAATTGTTGACACATCATCTAAGTCGTGATTTAAGCAAAAACGAGCAGGACATGCAAGCAGAGTTAACAGTCTGATCCTGTTGACAAGTTTAATGTACCAGTATTGGAACAAGGAGCTGCAATGTGCCATTCAAATGTGTTAAGACGCATGTCCTCAAAACATGAAATTTGTGAAGTGTCATGTGACTATTGATCAGGGACTGATGACCCTTTTTTAGTTAGTGAAGTGTGGGAATAGTATTTGTCAATGGGTTCCAACAACTCTTCAAGGTGATCCAAGCAGAATATACAAACCTTGATAGGTTTGATTCATGTCTGTCATAAGATCATCCAACATTCCAGCTTCATTTGAAATAATATGGACATAGAACTCTTCCGGGCTGACAATATGAGAGACTAACATATAGAGTGATCCGTCAGAGTCAACTGGAATATGAGGAGGTGGTACACGACATATCACGCCATTCTTAGAAATACTAGGAGAGCTTTCACTATGGGAGTCATCAAATGTTGGTGATGGCGTATCATGAAAACCGCTGGTCAATGATGAACTACGAACGCTTTCAGATTTAATGCCTTGGTCGCTAGGAGATGAAGGGGGACCAATATCATCGCTAGTCCCAGGACTCGCAACTGACGAGGCGCGAATGGCGAAACCTTGACGTATAAGCATTTCAAGGATGCTGCATTCAATTTTTTGATAATTAACGTCACTTGCCGAGCGGTTAGGGGGGAAAATATAGAGATCCAAAGGAACAGGTTTTACATCAGCCTCGTTCTCGCATAAGACCGCTTCGAGTGTTTCACCTGACACGCGACGTTTAAACCAGTCGTTTACTGCAAGATATAATTATCGTGTGATCATTTATAGGTAGTAAAAGCCATTAGTTATAGGTGATAGTGTTAGTCATTAGTTATAGACGATAGTACATGGTACTAGTAGTTAATTATAGGTGATAGTGTTAGTCACTAACTATAGGTGATAGTGTTAGTCATTAGTTATAGGTGATAGTGTTAGTCATTAGTTATAGGTGATAGTACATGGTACTAGTAGTTAGTTATGGGTGATAGTGTTAGTCACTAGTTATAGGTGATAGTACATGGTACTAGTAGTTAGTTATAGGTGATAGTACATGGTACTAGTAGTGTAGTTATGGATAGTGTACTAGTGATAGTATATGGTACTAGTAGTTAGTTATAGGTGATAGTACATGGTACTAGTAGTTAGTTATAGGTGATAGTGATAGGCATTAGTTATAGCTGTTGGTGATAATAGTCATAATTAAGCGATAGTCGTTAGTTATAAGGTGATGGTGATATTTGTTGGTTATAGGCGATCTCCGTTTAGACAAGGACAAACTCTTTTACTTTTTAGCTAACTTCACAAAGACAGAATAACTCCCTTACCCTCGCAAAGAGTAATATCTTCGCTCAGCTCCAGGCCTTTCAACTGAACGCGCAATGCTTGGCATGGCAATCCAGCGAATTTTTCATCTAATTCCCGTAACCTTGACAACGGCAAAGTCTCGCTGTTACCTTCATCAACATATAAGACAGTCACGCAGTTCTCTTGAGAAACTGCTGTCACCAATGCTCGATACCACACATTGTCCACTGTGTATCTGCCACAACACACGTGACCTACAAGTGGAGCCTCCTTGAGTCCACCCTTGTCCCCAGACTTCGCTCGCTTTGAGAAATAGTAACTAGATATAAAAGAATTAGGCAAACAAAATAATTCATACCATCCAGATAGAAGTATCAGGTGTAAACTACTGCACTGGACATATATTACCCATAATACCAACCACATTTTTTCCATGAGCAGGTCTAAATCATCGTTTGCTTTTTGGATCCAAAAATCACGTGGACTGATTACCTCCTTCACAGTGACTTCAATACAACTTCCTGCTTGGATTTCAAACGCAGGAATTTGTAAACCTGACAAGAAGAAAAAAGAACTATATATTTAGCTACATTTCAAGATCTATACCTACCATCTCTTGCACAAAAGTTCTTCAAACTAAAACTGTTATCCAACCTTTTATTTCTGATATTTCACACGTTGGTTTCTCTCTTAAAACCCCTTCCAAAACGTCACCAGCGGATACCGATACCGGAGAGGTAACCTCGTGCTGCACTGAAAAAACAGATGTGAATCTTTGTCAGTGAATCTCCTAGTTTAAGCATAAATAGTTTATTATGAAATATCATTAAAAGTGCCATATCTGTCCTACTTAACAACAGGCCGACTATCCAGACAAACACTTCGCTTCACTTACTAACATTTTGTGAGTCACTGAGTCACTCAATTAAACGGCAACATAATTTTTTAAAACTTGCAAACGAGTTTGATAGTATTTCGGTTGTTAGATTTTTACATACACAACTTATTTTATATTCAGATTATTGCAGAAAAATAATACCTTTATCATGCGTAGAAGCAGAACTCTCAGATTCCTGACTCGATACTGGTTCATCAACAGGTTCATCATCAGACTTATATCTATTTGACGTTACCAGAGATTCCTGCATTGCATTTGTTGCTGTTTTTTCCGTCAATAATGGCAGCTCGTTATTCTTGTGTGTTTCAATACTTGGTTCGGATTTGCAGGAATCATTTATTGTCGCCGATATTTTTCCGTTCAAGTCAGTCACGATTTTAGATTCTTCCGTGTCTGTGATTTTAGCTTTGTCGCTTCGGTCAAATTTGATTTCGTTGTTTTCACTTTCATCGACTGTCATTTTTGTGTTGGCGTTTTTCATTGCCGTCTCAACACCATCCATAATTTCTTGTGACTTATATTCACAGAAACCAATTGGTTGCAAGCGCACTGTAGTCGGTGAACTGCATTTCGGCAAATCCGCAAATTCAACGAACATATTTTCGCTGGAAAGGTCAGGTACCATCTTATTTTCCTCAACTGAGCTGTCTCGTCTTGAACTGTTTTCGACAGTTTCCTTGGACGTATTCAATAACGAACTGGGCAAACATGGATCATTTACATAAGTTGTAGAACTCAGGGAGTTGCACAATCTTGGTTGGTTAATGTCTTGTGTTCCAGAATATTCTGCACCATCATTTACTACAAATTTCTTAATCTGCAAAACGTCAGTTGAAAACTGCGAAGTTGTGGATGTTGATGTTTGATCCTGATCGAAGTGTACTAAATCAAATGCTTCAGCAACATGTTCCCTGATGTCTAAAGAAAAATGAAAAAGTCGTAAACGTTTATTGTTGAAAGGCCAATATTGCCCTAAACACACAGTCTGCCCACAGTCTGGTAATTAACTGTAATTAAAGTCAATTTTTAAATAACACATTTCACCCTTGTGTCAGAATAGCTGGGCAATTTTTGTTTTCCTCCTAGCATGCTTCCAGTTTGTAATAAAAATAGTGAAATAAGTAGTGAAAAAAGATTTTACCATCACATTCTGCTATTGACAGTGAAGTATCACTTGGGATCCCATATTTCTCAGTTTGCTCTGATGTTGACAAAGTATCAGATTGTCCACTCGGTGAAGAGTAGGAAGTTGGGGAAACTGCCTCATTCTTGCAGTTTTCAAAAGTTTTTTGTTCAAAATCAATCAGATCTTTCATTTCACTTTCTTTACTGAATGTAAAATCTTTTGTTCTTTTAAATGTGGATTCATTTCCATGGCCCATATCAGTTTCTTTCTCTTGTGAGACAGCAGAAAAACAGCTTTTTATTTCTGTATCACCAGATCCGGGGGATTTGTAAAAGGTTTCTTCATGTTTTGGCTTTGAAATATTTTTGACTGAATCTTCTCCTAAATAGGAAAAAAAATACAGAGGAAAAAATTAGTCAGAATACAATACAGTGTATGACCTGGAAATAATTAATGCAGAATTATTATATCCAATACAAGCTCTTCATACAGGGCAAGCAATATTCTGAGAATTTTCTAATTGTAAAAAATATGATGGCATCACAGGGTTTGTCAGGCAGCAAAATATGAAGTGATCTCAGGCTGTACCTTCATGACATGAGGTGAGTGGGTGGTCGTCTGGTGGTTTGTCATCTTCCTCAGATTCACCACTATTCTCATCATCTTCTTCAAGAGATGATATAGTAGCACTAATCAACAACAAGTCATCAAGACATTTCTCAAGTTCTTGACTAACAGCTCGATATTTCTGGAAGAACTTTGTCTTGTTGCACTCTGTCAATAAGCTGTTAGCAGCAAGTTTTACCTGTAAGATATTAAAGTTTTCATATAACTATTTTCTACATTATATACTTCTAGATTGATTATTTAAGGGCAGTGAACATGAATGCATAATTAAATATGGCCTAACCCACTGAAAATAACATCATACACATTAGATTAAGTTAGTTATATTTACCCCATTGGTAAGTTGGTGAACAGAATTTTGAATAAATTCTTTTTGTTCATCAATTGCATTCAACTTCTCCTTTACTCTCTTGCGGGCATCATCCAAAGGTTTTCTTTTTGATGCCATTATTTAAAGTTCTGCAAAACATTGATTAGCATAGTATATATTATCATTTATGATCACATGCAGATAGTGAAGTACCAGTATATTGAAAGAAACAATTTCATAGCTTTTTCTCCATATATCACCTTTAGGAATCTATTAAAAAAACTAGGACTGCCTAGGAATAGAGTTACCATGAATCATGGTTTCACTTATAGTTTTATAGATTCTTGGTTCTGGTTAGGGCCAAACTTCTGACAGCCCGATGTGTGCGCAGGTATGTGTGCAGGGCATATATTTGGTGGTTTTCGCTGTGGTACAGGATCTGCTCAGGTAATGACGATCAAGAGTTTTACTTAATAATATGTATATGCATTGTATACACACGTGCGCAAAGGGTAGCTCCCACGTGGGAATGTTGTATAAATTTATAAATGGCGACTTTATTCCAACTTTTTTAACCTCAATCCTTTTAAAATAACTTAATTTACCTTTCTCTTTAAATGAGCAACTTCTTCTCGTCTATATATTAACTAAAGAGATATCGGAATAAATCTTTATATTTTCTGACAGAGTTGTACATTTTTTGAAAAATTGTTATTGTTTGTACGTCAAGTTGTTTTCGCGCCACTGAGCTATACGACAATTCTGAACCATTCCAAACTGAATTTGACCTCAATCTTTGACTATCGACACTGGACTAAAGAAAAGATTGTCAATGGTACAAAAGCCGTATAGCTACAAGAATCCCCCCATCAGAAAAATATAAAGAAACATCATAAAATTGTGCCGAATATTTCTATACATTAGACCATATTGTTTTTTGTTGTCAACAATGTGATTTTTTGGAGCGTACTGACATTTTCTACCATGTATTTTACACCAGTATTCCTGTAGAACTGTTCATCGGTGTACGAGAGACTGAAGTAAGTATTTCCTCCGGTAATGCGGGGAGCATTTACATCTCCCCGCTTGCAATAGTGTATGTGGGTCAATTAAATAAGAAATATTTTTATGATTTTCACTCTGATTTTTATTTCCACTAAATATCTTGCGTTATCGAAGATTGCGATATTTTTTTCTAGTGACATTTATCCAAATTTGTGCTACATTTTAAAGCAATTTTTGGGATCGAACGAGACGCAAATCTAAGAACCGGTGGGGACGACAAAACAAATAACATCGCAAGCGAAGGCCCGAACGTAAGTTGGATTTTGTGACTTGTTGAATGCGTTTTTGCAGGATTTATGTGGCTTAACAACAGTTCATTTGTATATTACAAAGCGTAACCTAATAAAATGCTAAAGTAAATTCCAATTCTTTGAAACATCGCCACAATACCTGTCTAGAATAACCATATGACATACGACAACTTACGTGAAATCTAATAACGAACATGAAGTCAAAATTTTAGTTTCGTCCTTGAAAATGCTTTGTTAAAGAACGTTTTTAGCCATAGAAACGAGTCCCAGCGTAGCTGTATAAAAGACAAATAGAATCCATAGTTTTAGCCAACACGCTAGCCGCTTTGATCGTGTTTTTTTCTGCGCTTTTACGGGGGGTTTAAAAACATTGCTTCTTGTCCATTTATAAACAACGCCATTTTGCTTTCTGTGCCCCTCCCGAACAGCCGATATATTTTGATATTTTCGATCAGTAAAGTGTATCTAACCATAAATAACTTAATCAGAAAGGAGGATCACAAAGTTTCAACCTAACTGGGGAACTGTGCAAGTAAAATGCAAAGAAATGAAAAAAAACATATAAATAAGAGCATTCTTACTTCGAATTTCGAAGTTATTTGTCGGGCTGGTCAAATTTAGGGACTGTATTTACTGTCATTTGTCGGGCTCGGAAATATGTGCGGGCAACTTTCCAGCACTAGAGTTGTTAACAAATGAAATGTGACCCTCCGACCCATTAGTTAAACACTTTTAAACAGTTTTTGATGCGGTGGTTGTTATAAATGAACAATATTATTCAAATGCATTTTCCATGATATGTACCACTTTATAGTTTCATTACTAACAGATCACCATCAGGGTTTTGATTAAAAACTCTGATGGTGATCTGTTAGTAATGAAAGCCCCCCCCCCCCCCCGCATATATAAGCCCCCACTGTATAATAAAGCCCATCAAAAAACCCTTACGACCCATATAAACCCTTGTACTTTGGTACATAAATGTGTTTGAGATATCATTTGCTGTTAAATTAACAGAGTAAAGTAAGATGGCAACAGAAGAAACATATATGATGTCAGATGAACAGTTGTTAGAAAAAGCACCCATGAGTGCAGCAATGCATCCTAATGCAAATGTCATATCAACTGCTGATGCAATGGAAACTGAGGATTGTAAGTTAATTACGTATACATTTTTTCCTAAAATAACCTTATTCCATTTAAAGAAAATAACCATAAAAAACCTTATTTTATCTTTTTAATCATTTTACAACACTGCTGAGTTCCCTTACATTAAAATATCATTGACACCGACAGCAGGTGAAGATGAGCTTGATTTACATGTGTGTGGCAAATGCAAAGCTGAATTCACAAGTATTGAAAACTATGTTGAACACAAAAGAGTTTCTTGTTCCAAACGAACACCAGTTAAAAATCAAGAGTCACCAAGCAAGGTAAGGGTGATCTTTAAGAGTCCTAGGTGTTGACTTTTGTTCATTAACTGGCTATAATTTTCTCCTGAAACCTATTTATCATCTGACTTAAAATGCTCTGGGCCTTTACAGGGCAGGAAGCTGAGTGAAAGTCCAGCAAAGCAAGTCATTCGTGGTACAGACAATGTCACTGCTATCCTGGAACCGCAAGTCCAAGGTTTCTGCGAGACTGTCATTGAGGAAGGAGGCATTGTTGTTGAAGCACAGGATTCTGAGGCACATCAAGAGATTATTAAAGCTGCTCGAGCTTCAGAGAGTCAATCATTGCCCATTGAAAGTATGTTTAGTTGACAAGAAGACTGATCTGTGCTCATATTAAGCTGATAGAACAACTGGGGCCAGTTGGACTCAATCAGACCAATCAGAGTAATTTATTTCTGAGTTAACTACGATTTAACTACGCAAAATGTAGTTAAGAGGTTTATACAACCTGAGCAGCATTTTAGAATCGCCATTTTTTAGAATTATTTACTGATAATATAACAAAAGATAACACAAACTTCTTGCCCTGATCGGAGAATTGCCTAATATATTCATCTATGCTTTCTTTATCTCAACAGAAAGTAAAGAGAAAGAACCTACCACTACTGTTGAACTTGAACAGGGTGAGATTGATCCCACTGCAAGCGCTTCCACCCGAGGAGAAAACGGATCATTCAAATGTGGTATCTGCAACAGTGATTTTGATCGCCCCGAAACTCTCGTTGTCCATCAGTTAATGCATAAAAAGTTCCACCAGTGCTGCGATTGCAAACGATCTTTCGTGAACCTCGAGAACCTCAATAAGCACAAAAAGGATTTTAAACATGTTTTCAAATGTAAAATTTGCCAAGAAGAGTTTCCAAGTCAGGATATATGCAAGTCGCACGCAGCATCACATACACGACAACACGAATGCCAGGATTGTAAAAAGAAATTCTTCACTGAAAAATCTTTACTGCGTCATCGCGAGAAGGTGGTTTTGTGAGGGCAATAATGACCCTTCATTACGTTGTAAATACCAGCTTTAACTCTAAGTGCACTCAAAGATCCCTCATTTTGACGTAGTACTTATCCGGAGCTGTCCCTTTACCAATTAGTCTTTCTCACAGTGACCATCAATATCCCGTGCTTTTTTCGGGTTTTAGGTGTGAATTTATTGTGAGAATAGTTGTTTGCTTAAAAAATTGCTTTGTATGTTGTTTTTATTGTTGAAACCATTTTGAGAAAATTGAAAACAGGCAAAAAATTAGGGGTATATTCGTCATCTTGAGTAAGGCTAATTTGTTACTCAAAACATTTTGACAAGTCATCGACTAGTTGCATGGGACTTCGATAGCAATCATTGTGGGAAGACAATAGTTTGCCGTTGAGCATGTCTAATATTTCATTTGCTCATATCATTTGTAGGTATTACATAACCTTCCATGCGACAAATGCGACAAGGTCTGCCGTGATAAACATGCGCTGACAAAGCACCAGGAGTCCCATCTTAGAGTGAAAAGCCATGTTTGTGATTGGGAGGGTTGTGATCGAGGATTTCGCAGTGCTTGTGAGCTGCTCAAACACAAGTAAGATTTAGACCAATACCAAGCAACTACATTCTCATGCAGAATGTAATATGTTCAGTCGTTACGTTGTTTTCTGATTAAGTAGAAAATCACTTTTTTCCAAGATAAGCAGCCATTCTCATACTTTACTGTACAGGAAGTGTGTTCATCTCGGTATTAAGGAGTTCAAGTGTACTGAATGTGGAAGAGAGTTTTCACGAAAAGATAAATTGAACCGTCATATTTTAATCCACTCTCCAAACCGACCAACATATCCATGCCCGTTCAAGACGTTCACCGGCTGCCAGAAGACGTTTTATCGCAAGGATAAGCTACAACGTCATATCTTTGCACATTCCAAAGAAAAACCGTACAAATGCAAAACGTGCAATAAAGTTTTTGCCAGGAAGGTATACTGTCTACGGCTGTCCATTCGTGTCCATCTCAGCATGCACATAACAGAGGAAGGGGACCGAGTCTATTTTATAATGCATATTATGAGTGTGCAAACGTTGAGTCATTGGGGATCCCGATAATATCATGCAAAAACGATGTGCTTTTGCTGCACTTCTCACTTAACTTTCGCTCAATTAAAATCAACTACGCTTCCAACGTTTATTAATACTTTCAACTTGCAACGGTGTCAGTGAAAATGACAAAATGTGAAATGACCAGTGTGACCAGGGGGAAATGATACTGTGTACAGACGTGTCATATGCGCATGCGTCAGGTCGAAAAAATTTCATCCGAATGTTGGCGCCCGGAAGTTATTGAAGTTATGACATAGGGATTGCGTACATTACTCACTTTTACAGTCATGCCAATAGAAGCGTTCCGAAAAATGTTGATCAGTTCATTTCTTAACTTGAAGGAACACATCTGCACAATTCCTCAACAATTTAAAAAGTTCCTTAAAAAGTTCCTAACTTCCTGTTTCATTGACCAATCAAATTTTATACTTTATTTTTGAGCAATCTGATTGGTCAATGAAACAGGAAGTTAGGAACTTTTTAAGGAACTTTTCAAATTGTTGAGGAATTGTGCAGATGTGTTCCTTCAAGTTAGGAAATGAACTGGTCAACATTTTTCGGAACGCTTCTATTGGCACGACTGTAACAGTATAAAATATCTTTTGTTATGTCTTAAATTTAGGACAATCTTACAGAGCACACCCGTATACATACGGGAGAGTTCAAACACCGATGTCCTGTGTGTAATAAAGGAATGGGTGGACCGAAGAAACTGTTGCTACACATGCAGCAAAAACACTCCGGAGTGAACGAGGTAATCCCGGAGAAGCCAACTATGGTTAGTGAGAGTGTGCTTCTAGCGACCAGCCAGGCTGCTACGGTTGTCTCACCCGTTACCACGACCACCACAACTGAGAGTGCAGATGCCAGCGCTGCATCATGGGTACAACAGAATATCACTGGGGAGAAAACTGGTCCAGAGGCTGAGGCCACGCCGGCGGTTGCTAGTCCTGCAAGTGTTTCTGCAATGTCCGAAGATTTCCAGCCTGAACAGTAAGGGATGCACGTTATTGCATCTTGGTTTTTAGATGAAAAAGAGATGATAAAATGTATTTACCATGCACTGCGTCTCAACTAAATTATCAGAAAACTACCACGTGAGGCCATCAGTAGCGTAGCCAGCCTGTCGATTTGTCCCGCTATGCTAATATTTTAATGTTCACTGACTTTGAAAACAATAGATTTCTAAAGATATGAATAATTATAATAACTCGAAATTTACATAGCGGGACAAAATCGTCAGGCTGGCTACGCCACTGGAGGCCATCAGGCAATGAATTGTGCATTTATCGAGTGTCAACTCATATAGAGTTTCCTCGCATTATAGTACGAAAGTCAAAACCCCATAGTATCCTTCCATCTTGGTAATATTTCTATAAATCTTTACGATATAGACTGCCGAGATAATTATGCTACATGAGTAGTAATGGCCGCACTGGCATAGCGGTGATGATAAACCTAATTCTGTCCCATTTTAGACATATGTTAATATGTTAATTGTATTTTTTGTAGAGAGCAACGCGGTCCAGGCGAAGGTAGACAGCCGATACAGGAAGTAACCAACGATATACACCATCAGCAGCAGCAACAAGATGTTCATCAGCAACAGCAACCAGAAATGCACCATCAACAAGAACCAGAAATGCACCATCAACAACCAGAAGTACATGACCAACAAACGGAACACGACAGTGGTTCTCTAGTAGAACTACAGCACCACCAAACAATATTACACCACCATCAAGAGGCGTCGCAAAACCCACCCCAGGTGGCACTTCGACCTTTGATGGAACACCAAGAACAACAACAACCAAATATGCCACAGCAAATTATCATTCAACCTCAAACTATGATAATCACTCCTCCTCAGGGCTCTCCCCCGCGTGTGTCAGTCCATTATCTCTCATCTAACACAACGTCACAACCCCAAACGTCATACGCGTCGACGTTACAACAGAATGTACCTAGCGTCACCCAAAGTGATACAGTATTACTTCATGAAGTGTTGAGTGAGCTGGCCACAAGATCGCTTTTTAACTCATAAAAAGAACTTTTACTAGTCTTCCTCGTGTGATAATGAACTTATAGTGATATAATTAAATTTGGATGACAATTAGGTGTAGGTCTAAGATAATTAAGATTGCATCCTTGTGTGATGAAATTAAATATGAGTAGGCCACACCTATGGTTTATCTAGCGAGATCAATTAGCGTTTGTTATTGCCTAGGTGCTCATAACGTTTGATCAATCTGCTGTAAAAATACGATATAGAATATTAAGTATTAGCCGGGAATTTTTTGCCAGAATCATCTCTATGCAGTATCGCAGTAATAGATTTTGGTTTTTTGAACCCATCGTCATGAAATTGTCGAAAGTAGATATTAACTGAGTCCGTATTTTAGATTTTTTAAATCCGTATTTACCATCGCAGAATTAGTGAACTGAATCGTCCCACCGAGCAGTTATTGCCCAGGGACTCAAAGGTAGTTGTTGATCATCGTCGTTAGCAAATTTTTTAACTCTAAGTGAATTTCGCGAGTTTGTTACCTTTCATCCTCGTTTTTGTGAGATGTTTCTCGTCAATCACCCGGATTATGTGCCTTGAGTGGTTATCTGTCTTTAGTGTAGATCAGTTTATTGTTAGTAAATAGTAAAACAGCTTGTACATGTACATTACGTTTATTAAACATTTATGTCACATATGCCTAGTCACTATCGCCAGCCCCTGATGTATAGCATGGACTAGTGGACTGCGTCCACAACGTTCTCTCCTGTAGAAATAATGATATAAACTACCTTTATCCAATCTCGTTTCCTTCTTCCTTACGTTTTTTACTTGTTTTGGCAGCAATTCATGAAGCCGGTGATTCGGATCGATCAAATCTTTAATCATTAGTATACATGCTTTGTTTCTGTGTTCTTCCAGGGATTCCAGTTTACTCACGTTTAATTCAGTGCTACTATAGTCCCTATGTCCAGATGACCAGGATATATATTAAGAGCCCTTCTCTGAACTCTTTCTACATTATCCTTTTGCATCTTATTCAAGGACAAATCGAATAACTGTACAGTACATTAGAACATCAAAAGATCCTCGATGGGTGCTCCGTACCTTCTTAAAATGTTTAAAAAATGTAATCGCTTCGTTGCCTTTTTTACGATATATTCTTTGTTAGTCGTCTATTTAAAATCGTCATCGATCTATAATCCAAGCAATTTATAAGAGATCACTCGCGATACTTGACAACCGGCGATATATTATTAATCGATGGTTTATCTGTTTTATTCCTTCGGAAATCAATAATCAGTTTCCTTACATTTTCCTTCGTTCAGTTCCATCATCTCATCTCTGGTAAACTTACTTTATCCACCCATTCCCTGTGAGATTGCAATTGGACTTTCCGATGTAAGGATGATGCATCAATCACTTAATACGAGGTGGTATCGTCCATAAACTTTATTACATCTTGTTCCTCAGATGTTTCGCAGAGTGAAGTCTCACTATCGGGTTTGGATCGGAAGATCATTAATTTTCAGGATAAAAGATATTGGCCCCGATTTGGTTTCCTGTGGTACACCAACGTAGATTCGTTTTAAAATTGATTGTTCCCCTTGAAACGTTGTTATTTGGAATCTTCCGTGGAGATAAGATGCAAACCAAGCAATCAAGTTCGGGCCTGACACCAATTTTAAGAAGTGACTTATTATGGTCGATTAAATCGAAGGCCTCGCGAAAGTCAAGGAAGATGATGCGAATGGCCTTCTTAGTATTGTCCATAGCATATTATGCATAAATTGTTGATGATCCAGGCCAGGGAGCCCACCGTATTGGCATCGACTTATTTTATCTCCAGCAACGCAGCAGGATGGAAATGGTATTACTCGTAATGAAAAAATAATAATAAAAAACAGTAATAAAAGCATATAAACTCGTAACTGAAAGAGACGCCGCACTAAACTTCCCATGCGATTTTGACTGAATTTTTGGTTGTACTAAAGCCCCGTTTACAATGCAGTAAAACTCGTTAACTACGCCTTGCATAGTTTAATCCTAGTTAGTTCAGAAATACACAACTCTTAAGTGCTAATTCTGTCCTTAACTACAGGTACGTAGAAGTTAATAGACCTTATGCATAATGACGTATTAAGCCAGGTCATCAGATAGATATGTAGGAAGATTCGAATGGAAGACTTCACAGGCATATTCTGGCAACACTGATCGAACACATGCATTATAGAATTGAATTAAATATTTTTCTTCCACATCAGCTCGTCACATTTGTTTTAGAAGATAAAGTCGTTTTGAAGCTTTAGCAACCACCGTTTGTATGTGTTTGATCCATTTAAGATCGTTAGGATTAATCCCAGAACTTTCGCTGATTTTACAATTTCAAGATGTCGTCGATTCATAGTAATTGGATCAAACATACCTTCGGAATATTGAATCCTCATCTCTTTACATTTTTCGGGGTGTGATATGTAATTTATTCTGTTCAGACCAATTAACAATTTTATCAACAGCTGGCTGCAGTGCGCTATTGCTGTGTTTAGGAGTGACTCGGGAAACTGTAGTGTCATCTGCATATTTCCACATATCTTCTGAGGGCTCGCCGGAAAGTCAGAGGTCGTTAATCATAGGAAGAAAGAGCCAGGGCCTGAGTTTTGTTCCTTAAGGGACTTCTGCTGGAACGCGCAAAAAATTTGAGTAACAATCCGTGTCAATTCTCACTCTTTGAAAACGATTCCGTAAAAAATCTACAATCCAATTTATAATTGCTGGTTTTATACCATAGTCATACAGTTTGGCAACCAGAAGGTTGTGATCAACCGTATCGAAAGCCTTTTTATAATCTAACAAAATCACTCTAACCGCGGAGCCTGTTCCATCAGTAGCGGACAACTATTTGTGGAGCATTGAAATTAAGGCAAATTTTGTAAAAAAATCAAATTATAAATCCAAATTGTTTTGGGTCAATAATATTTAAAAGATTAGGTTTCAATTCATGTTGGATAACAAAATCCTCAGCAATTTTGAATAACGTTGATGTCAAAGATATCGGTCGTAGGTCTTTGTTAAAGTCTTCGATATTTTGAGCTTTTGCCCGCTTTGGAAGTGGAGAAATGTCTGCGATTTTCCATACATTTGGCACTTTGTATTCAATAAATGAATAATTAAGAACATCTGTTTTTTTTACAGCTGGGGCAATTATATCAGCATATGTTTTTAATAACCAAGCAGGTAGATTGTCCGGACCATTGTCTTGCACCTGCTTTAGACTTGTTGATTCGCCGAAGTTTCTCTACTAATGACTCCAGAGTAACTTGAATACATTCATCAGTATATCATATGGGAAACGCAGGTCCACGGGTATATAAGGGTGAGTAATCATTCATTACGCCAATTAAAGCCTCGTTGATTCTATTTGCTAATTTTTGACCGTTATTGGAATCGTTATCATAGGAAATAGTTCCTGGTTATAGTTTTCCGGTTAGGTTTTAGACCGGATAGTTGCTTCACTTCATGCCACCAATCACTAGGTTTGCAGTCGGATAGTTTTTGTATTTTTGCTTTATAATAACGTTTTCGACACTTTTTTCTTTCCCTATTTACCTTATTTCGTAGCAGCCTCAAAAGAAATGTTTCTCCGGAGGTAAAAGCTTTTTGCCTTTTCAGGATCAAACGTTCCTGCGTCATCCATGGGCGATCGTTGACTTGTACTTTTGTCTTTCGTTCTGGCATGATTGTATTTAAACCGTAATTTATAACTTGTGTAAAAACTGAGAGTTCATTCTTCACTAGAGTGATGACATCCCAGGAATCCCATGGGACATTTGTTAGAAAACGCCCTAAACAGGCAACATTACTAGCTCTCTTATCAGGAAATTTAATAATTTTCTTTTGTGTTTCCATCGCTTTTCGTAATTCGGGAATTACGGTGACAGTAATGTGGTCAGACAAACCAAAAGGAGGGCCAGCAACTGGCGAACTATAATAAGCTTTCAAGTTGGTAAAAATTTGATCGAGTGTATTCGGCCCTCTGGTAGGAAAATTGATAATAGGCTTTAGTTGAAAACTTTTAGCAGCATGTTTGAAATCAAGTTTGTTATTATCACCCAGTAAAATTATTCCACAACTTGTATAATTCACTTCAATATATTCCAATTAGGTTTTCAGATATTCGAGCAATTCACTATTGTTAGCATTTGGAGGGTGATAAAGGACGCCAACAATTATCCACGAAAAATTACAGGGAAGTCGTTTTGGTTGTAACATTACCCATAACACTTCATGATCGTCATGGTAGAGTTCACCAAGGAGTTTACATATTATTTTTTATATACAGGGTGAGTAAAAAAACCCTGACACCTTTGAAATTCAAATTAGGCGCATTGAGCTGTAATGTGACAGAAGTTGCCTAAAATATCTCATTGGTATACGAAGCATACCAATGAAGGCTAGTTTCCACTCAGGAAAAATCTTCTTTGGATCGGGACGGACAGGAAAATTTCCTTTGTCGGTAAGTTCTCAGGCGTCGTTTATACAAAGGAAACTTCCCTGTCCTGTCCGATCCAAAGGAGAATTTTCCTGAGTGGAAACTAACCTTGAGATTGCATTCTGTTTGCTCTAGGTTTGTACGCTTCTTTTAGGGCGGGCTTTTCTTTTAAAGCAGGCTTATCGATTATTACCACAGAATCATTGAGCGTGTTATTTGGTTGACTGACTGTACTTATTCTGCATGCCTCTACGCCTACGATACTTGGGTTTTCCGCTCTCGAATTGGAGTGATTGCACTTTTTTAGTGTTTGAATTTCTATCGAAAAAGTTACGTTTATAGGCAATCGGCTTGTTAAACGGATTTTTGACTGTTTCATTTCCTTGGCAGGAATTACTAGGTCGCTTCTGCAAATTAATAGATCAGATGACTCAGATTGCATATTTAAAAATCTATTATTTTGCATTTTACGATATTGTTCGATTTGCGTGGGAAGAGAATCGGCAAGGTTACACCGCGCAAAACTAGTCGACATCTGGTAAGACTGTCCATGGTAATCGTTTAATTCAACATTGGTTGGAATGCTCGCTTCAACAATAGAGGGCTTTGGTAATTTGCATTGGTGATTTGAACTTGTTTGTATGATTTTATCGAAGGACTTTTTCTTGTTGTTCGAGCTTTCGATTTTTGATTTTTTCTTCATCAAGTTCCGAGCGCATTCTAGATACTTCATTCATCAAATCATGGGCCCCCAGCAGCAAATAATTCTGTGAACTGATCAACGATTGCATAGCGTCTACTCTATTTTGCAAAATTTTGATGTTAAGAACGACGTTCTCCATGCTTGAATGAACTAGAGTTTGCTTCCAACATTCGTTTATCGGATCTGTAGATATATAGATGTAGCTTCGCATAGGGTTTTTTAACATAAAAAGTGCCGTGTTCACCGATTTGTCCATTAAAAACTAAACTATTCAGCTTACCAGGATACCATGTAACAATGAATTAAAGGTCATTACTATCAAATCTTCGAGCGCAGCCGCCGGGTGTTCGCCAATTGCCAACTTGCTTGAGGGTATTTTCAACGAATTCCTTCAGTTTATCAAAGTTATTTTCCCAAGATAATCTTTTCTTGTTATAAACAATATCTCCAGAGGTAACATGGCTACAAATATCATAAAATACCATTCAATTGCGAAATCTTTGACATATCGATCAGAGCTGCCAGATGTACGACCTTCCATGGTCAGTGAGTGATGACATTAGCGTTGACAACCATAGAGATTATGGTTGACAACCACGATAGCATGGCGTCAGACCTAGCCTCCTCCACAGGCGTCGCTAGCTTTCTTTGGGGCTTCCCTTGGGGTTGCGCTGGCTTACCCTGGGATGCGTCAGACCATTAGAAGTTTATTTCGTATCTGACTAGGCCAATTCGTCTAAACAAGGTACAGATAGTAGTCAACATGCACAATTCAACGAGAACGAACGAGTAGCTTCATTAACCGAGCGACTCAGTTTTCTGCACTCGTTTAAACTCGCCTGGCTACTGGATGAGACCTTAAATATGAATTTTCGACAAGCACTTAGACGAATGTGATAATTTTATTCCGTTCCAAGCCATTAGCATAAACAATTCAATGACAAGGAACAAATAAAACTTCAAACCCAGACGACTTGTTTACGGAAAAGTTGAACAATTAGCGTGTCAATTACCGTGATGATATCAGTAAATTGCAGTATATTTTAAGCAATGCACTCATGAAAGTTGTGTATAGCCCTTTGCTTGCTATGTAATTAAATGCTTTTAAAATATTCTTCAAACAGCTTTGACTTTGCTACGGACAATGCCTCCTCGTCAAGTTGTAAGGTTAGGAAACCGGCGAAGAAAGGAGTATAATTTTAAGGCCGCAAAGACTACCAATTTGTTGAAACTCTCAATTAACAACTAACAAGGCGGATGATTGCAACAAAGGGTTTACCTCATCGTTCAATATTATGTAATTTTCTTCCGATATTTCAATACTTGCTCTAATCGCAGATGACGGTTGAACAGATGACGTTCAACCATTACACATTTGATGTTGGGGTTTCCGTTTATACGTTTACAGGTAGCGATATTTTACTCAATGAATTTCTCTGTAATTATTCGCATGTTTAATCATGCAATTTTTGTTTGGCTCGACCTTTTACAAATGAATTGAATAGCCATGCCATAATTATGCTGTGTTTTCTTGGGGATTCATCCCTATATACATTCATACGGTTCAAGTGTTTCCAAAACAACACATGTTTTCTGAGAGGGATGACTTAGAAGCAACCGCGACTGCTTTGCACTTGATGACTAGTTCACAGTTGTTTTCACAAAACACTGGTTTTATTTTCGGTATACTTACCTGCGATTAGAGCAAGTATTGAAATATCAGAAGAAAATTACATAATATTGAACGTTGAGATCCACCCTTTGTTGCAATCATCCGCCTTGTTAGTTGTTAATTGAGAGTTTCAACAAATTGGTAGTCTTTGCGGCCTTAAAATTATACTCCTTTCTTCGTTTCCTAACCTTACAACTTGACAAGGTGGCATTGTCCGTAGCAAAGTCAAAGCTGTTTGCAGAATATTTTAAAAGCATTTAATTACATAGCAAGCAAAGGGCTATACACAACTCTCAAGAGTGCATTGCTTAAAATATACTGCAATTTATATCATCACGGTAATTATTGACACGCTAATTGTTCAACTTTTCCGTAAACAAGTCGTCTGGGTTTGAAGTTTTATTTGTTCCTTGTCATTGAATTGTTTATGCTAATGGTTGGAACGGAATAAAATTATCACATTCGTCTAAGTGCTTGTCGAAAATTCATATTTAAGGTCTCATCCAGTAGCCACGCGAGTTTAAACGAGTGCAGACAACTGAGTCGCTCGGTTAATGAGGCTACTCGTTCGTTCTCGTTGAATTGTGCATGTTGACTACTTAAACCACAATTCTGCCGAAATTTAAACAGTAAACATAAAAAAAGGATATTGCGAGAAGATGGATGGAACACACGAAGTGCAACCAAGTTAGATCTTAAGTCTAAGGCCTTTAACAACTCGGCCATTCTAGCATTTTGTATTTTAAAATAATAAGTATCTAAAAAACTTGTGTTATTTACGACAGGAATAAATAGTTATCTTTAAAAGGGGGAATCGGGAAATTGGTAAATCGGGGAATTGGGCAATCGGGGAATTGGGCTCATGATTTGAAAATGAATTAAACTTCTTATAATAAGTTCTTTGTTGTAGTTTACTTCATATATAAGAACACCTAAACCACATCGCCATGGTGACTCGAGCTCACATTTCGGTTAAGATATTTCAAAAGCTAAGCAAGATTTGAAAAATTGGTGAAAGAGTCTTATACATAATTTTACCTGTTCTTTTATACACTAGCGGTCAAAAAGAACTGCTCAAAACAAGTTAAAATGCTCTCAAATGAACGTAACGGTCCCTCTAACAATATATACGAATAAATATAGACTAGATTACATGCTAAGCTATATGAAATATTAATATTTTGTTGATCCTTTGGCTTTATATAATTGATAACGACCTTACACTAGCGTGGTATATTTTCTGCTAAGGTGGTAATCTTAACGGTCAAAAGAAATTCACTCAATGGACAGTCTTTACAGCAATGCATAAATCATGGACGCTTTATGAATGAATTCCTTTCTTGCACTATCCCCTTGACTTTGTCCCACAGAATTTCAATAGGGTTAAGGGCTTTTGACAGTGCAGGCCAATCCATTTCTGTCACTCCCTCTTCCTGAAACCATTATTTGACTATATCTTGGAAGTGTGGCAAGTTGCATTACATTATTGAAATATTGTTTGGAATAAGAGAGTTATACAAAATGCCTATAAAGCTCTCTCCTATATTCGCTTCTTTTGTATGAATTTGTATCTAAACAGTTCTTTTTGACCGCTAGTGTACAATAAAAGATAGATTGTTATGATTCCTGTTACATACGATAATAGCAACATTTGAGCAGTTCTTTTTGACCGCCAGTGTATGAAAGAAACTAAATATTCGTTGCCAATACCTTTTAACAATTACAACTATCAACTGATGAGATCAGTGATTGATATTTTTGAGAAAAAAGCTTCACACAATTTTTAGTATTATTGATTTTATTAAAAACACCACTATTTAACCTAAAATATACATCAGTTAAACTTGCATCTATTATATGGATCGAGCAAGTAATATCACACTATCACTACTAGTCTACTGCTACTTACCAATTTTTCAAATCTTGTCTAGCTTTGAACTGGTCGCAATCTTGGATTAACATTCATGTCATTATGGGTGGTTTTGATGACGCCACAACTCCACATGCAAGCGAGTTAACCGCATAAAACTACTCTTAGATAGCAGTGTTGTTTAGGTGTTCTTTCAAATAAGGTAAACAAAATTTTCATTGTTAAAAAACAAAGAGATTTATTTTAGTTTCAAATATACGAGCCCCATTCTGTCAGAAATTCCGCACTTGACGTCATTATTCAGTTTACTTATCGTTTCAGTTCTCTGATTATAGCTTTTCCCCAAAAAGTTTATTCCATGAAGTTGTTATTCAAAAATGATATGTATTTGATGTGAATGTAACAGTTTCTCCGATTTTTAGGAAATAAAACAATTCTTTGTATAATTACCCAATATCGATCTACAGTATAATAACTGAAAGTTGGTGGCATTTGAAACAATATCGAAAACATGACTCTGTCTTCCCTCAAACTGTGCATCTGTGTGCCGATTTCACTAGCGTTGATTGGCCTTGCAGCTCTTTTCCTAATTGGTAAAGATGGAATGACCATGGAGTATAAAACAATAAGTAAAGAACATGAACATGGTAATCGCCTTCACGAGAAAAGAAATGAAAAATCTAGGAGATCCGTTTTGATTATATACTGGAGTAAAATATTTAGTGACATACCGCGCGTCAATTTCAACCCTGTAGGTTGGCCATATTTCTTTGCTGGACAAAATTGCCCGATTAAATGCGAACTTACAAAGGACAAACGTCGTGCCCATGATGCATCAGCCTTAGTCATTCACTCCAGAAACACAAATGAACTTCCTCCGAAAGCTTTCCAAAATTTAACATGGATTTTACACACAAACGAGAATCCTATTTTTACACCTTCTCTTCGCAACCCTGACATAATGCGGCAGTTCAATTATTTGACCAGTTATCGACTAGATTCAGACTTTCCGTGTCCGGGATTTTTGAAGCCAAGTTTAGAACCGCCGCAGCCGTTTTCAGAAAAAACAGGATTGGTAATCGTGGCACTGAGTCACTGTGAACCTACACGAACACATTATATTTCTGCTCTTATGAACTACATAGATGTAGATTCATATGGCGAGTGTCTCAATAATAAAGCAGGGTTGGAGAGGGAAAAGAGCAATTCAGGGCATGCTCTCATGGAAATGCAAAGGAATTATAAATTTAGTTTAGTTTTCCCAAACGCAGACTGCGACTATTATATGACTGAAAAAATATACAGTGCACTTTCAGCTGGAAGCGTACCTGTTTGGTTAGGAACGGATAAAATTGACGAGGTTCTTAAGTGGGGTAATTTGAATAAATCCGTGATTAAAGTAAAGGACTTTACTTCACCAAAAGCATTAGCCGAATATCTGCTAAGACTGTCACAGGACGAGAAGGAGTACAATAAATATTTAAAGTGGAAGTACGAGGGTTTTCAATTCCCAAAAGAGTATTATACCTCGCCAATAGGGCAGTGGTGGGACGGACTACCGCTGTACTGTAGGGAATATGCATGAAGATTGCGCAGGATCCACAAGGACATAATGGATTGCCAGTTGATAAATGTGATGGACAGCAAAAGCGAACGATTAGAAAGTGGATAAAAAATTGGCATGCGGTGTAGCAAATGTAAAATTTTTAAACAGTTATAAATGCTCGAACGTATAGAAATATATAAGCCATGGAAAGTAAAAAAAATACTTGTTCAAGTCTATTTATCAATGACGAACGAACGTTATTTGCTAATGCGTCCAACACGGAAGACATCTATCAATTATTTCAAAATAATCTTCCACAAGCTAATCGCACCTGTATACCTAAAATATCCACCAAATGAGTCAAGTGGCGACTTTCGGGGATATCTCTTTCTTACCAGACATTTGGGAAATTCTAGAGAAGATACAACTTGGACTAAATGATAAGGTTATTACACTACGCCAGTTTCACTAACCGTCGTTTGGCATTCCGCAGCACATCACACACGCGTGGTAAAATGCTATCAGGGTAGTGTCGCAGCTCTTCCCAAGAATGATTTTCATTGGCTGAAATTTAGTGTTACACTATGCAACTTCTACCCGGCGTTAACGTTAAGAATAAAAATTATTTATACGACGAACACAATTTTATTTTCACAAGATTCCCATCATCGATGTATTATTTATCGTCAATAAATCCTTGGAATATCCAAGTTAACGCCGGGTAAACGTTTGCGCATGCGTGACCCTTCGCTTATTTGTGCCTGAGTTTTATCAAAATAAGTACATAATTGCTCTTTAGACTTTATATCTAGTGAGAGATTCAAGCTCCTTTTCCACTAAGCGAATTTATTCGCGCGACGCGAAGCGATATATGAGTTCCGGTGATGTGATTGGTTTGCGAAGAGGCTCGCCGCGAAAAGTGGAATCTCCTCCTACCTTTCATATGTTCGCACGAATACATTCGCCTAGTGGAAAACCCGGGTTAACATCTGAGCGTGTTTTAATTAGCAGAAATTGAACGAGTTATTCAATCTAAGCGGGAATTCAGATTAAATGACTCAGAAAATGTTAATCATGATTGTGAAACGTGGAGATGCCCAAGGAAGGCACCGGAAAGAAACGACATGAGATCAATTTACTTGATCAGCAAGCGATCAATTAATACGTATTAATAACACTGACAAAATGTGTTTGGCACGAGCACTTGTAGTTGCTATATCAACGCTTGAAAAGGACACTGAATCAATATCAATCTATTCAAAAATCGAGTATCTATTTTGGCCGATAGGCCGATGAACAGTTGCTCATGAGCAGTTTTGAGCACATTTTCACATTCTTAACTATAGGAATTCGGGCCTAAAAATTCTCAATGAACCGGGCGCAGTTTTATGCGATGAGCAGATGTGCACATGCTCATAACTGCTCATGAGCGCATGCTCATTTGCTCATAAAATTGCATTACTGTTCGATAACAGCATTCCCACACCTCCAGTGGTAAGGAAATGAGCTGTCAATTTTGCCGAAGATACTTTTGCCGCGGTTACAATCAGCGCATACACGAACAGGAATACTGTCCACTACGAGAACAAGAAAGAAACATGTCTCAAACAGACTCGAAGTCTCAAACAGTCAAGAAAGAGATTTCCAAGATGATGTCTCGACCACTTCCACTCAGCAGTCTAGAAGTTCGACGGCTTCTGACTCAGAATCTGAAGAAGAAATGGATCCCTGGATACCGTTAATAGAAGAAGCAAAGAAGTTACACAGCTTTTGAGGAAATGGAAGAAAGTCTTATAAGCAGTGGTTTCGATGAGCATACCGCTAAAGAGAAAGCTTACTTCAATGTTATGCCTAGACTCCAGAAAGAATTAGAAAATATCTACTTAGAGCGCCTTTTGTGGACGAGACAACTAAAGAAATTAAGATCCAGTACATAAGAAAATAATGCACACAAAAGATGCGTTTATTCAAAATGATGATTTTGACCCGGAAGAAGTATTAGAAGCTGCAGTTGATAAGAGAAAGTTCCTCATTAAAAGGCTTTTAAACGACCAAGGGATTGAAGATGTGAAAGAAAATAAAGGCAGTGATGATGATGACGATAATGATGATGAAGATTAGAATTTAAGTTAGCCAAATGGTTTACTAAACCTTTCTTAAGGAAACTATGGCAAACGAGCAAAAAGCGATAGCGATTTTAGAAGTAATTATTTTTTATTGCTGCATGTAACTAATTGCCAGACAATTGCAAGACAAATTTTCTTATCCCCTATGCTAGGTCAAACATTAATTTTCATTTTATCAACAAAAACCTCCCATGGGCCTGAAATATCTCATTCAGCAGGAATGTGGGAGTGTCTTGTTACCGAACAGTATAATGTAGTTTTATGAGCAGATGAACATGTGCTCATGAGCAGTTATGAGCATGTGCTCATTTGCTCATTTGCTCATCGCATAAAACTGTACCCGATTCATCCTCACGCAAAATGTCAACGTATACACCACATCAGCGTCGTCTACGTATACATTGTTTCATTATCCACATGTATCCTGTATGCGTATACAATGCCCACGCGAATTGTTAACGTATACCACACATCAGCGTCGTCTACGTGTACAGATATAATAAAATACATGGAGAGAATAAACCCCGTCACATAAATCACTACTGACACCTGCGATGGAGAACATTGTCGGAATAATTAACATGGATGGCTTTCAAGTTAAGAAGAAATTTCTGTGCAAGGAATTGGGAATGATTCCCGTTTCTTGTAAAGGAGCAAGATCCTGCTTTTTTGATCTTGGGTTACGGTTCCAAGATTTGGAGGAAAAAGACAAGAAACCCTGTTGGTTCGTGAAGCGACATATTCACAAACTACCGTTTGGAGTTCCTAGGTAACATTGTCCTAGACTTTTATAAATCCCTTAGTAAGGGTCCTTCATCCACTATTGCCTACAAAGGTGGACACATTGAGAGGAATTTGTTAAAAAGCCTAGACATTCCTAGCGTAAATTTGGAATGCTTTGGATGTTCTAAAGCTGATGTGTTGTTTAATTTGACGAACTGGCACATATCAAAACCTGCGGCAACCATTTGGTGGTCAATGCCTACCGTCACTGCGCAAAGGTCCCCCCTTAATCATAGCAAACAACACTAAATTCAGTTACAATCCCTCGCACCAATTCGCCCAAAGTACCAATATCGAGATAAACACCTAAAAATAATCAGAATAATAAATGACTCACACTAAAATTTGTTTTTGAATCCTACACAATGCTCGCCTCAGCAGTGTTCCATACCCCATAAACACTACACACATCAAACGCATGATGTACACGTGAAACTATCGTGCACATTTGATGTGACGTCATGGTACCCTAATATACACCACACATGCTCACGTGAAACTATCGTGTATTCCCACATGATGTTCACCTGGTAACCTCGTGTACACCCAGTATGACGTCATTGGCGGCATCCCTTTGTCCGCTATATGGGAGGGTAATCTACTAATAAGGTTTAGTTTTAAGGTTCCTAATCTTACGTATCTTACCTAATCAAATTCGAAGTATTCCTTGTATTAATTTGCAGGACCACTTTTATTACCAGGCTGGCATACTCTTATCAGTCTTGTATAACAATTGCGAGGGGTCATTCTAACTGGGATTTTTCTCTACATTTCGCGGGAAACTACGCTTAGATTGACTAACCACTCCCGGAAGTATTGGCGATGGTTTGTCCGGTATGGAGAAGTGTTGTAATAAACTGGGATAATGATTCTGTAAACTACTAGTGCGCGTATACTGTAGGTGATAATTTTGATAGGGTTGTCTAACGGCTGGAACTGAGTCTGGCGATTTCAAGCCAGGAAAAGACTCGCATGAAACATCAACAGGTCGATCAAGAGTCCTCGAAGGGTTATTTACAACAGACTTTACTTGAGGAGGTCCTTTCACAGGTTTCTCACATCGGTGCGAATGTAGTTGTAACGAGTATTTTTGTATTAAGGTTAAAAACATTTAGTTCGTTTCCTTGAATAAAATGATAGACTTGCTTTCTATTTTGAACTTAACCACCGTTTAAGCTAAACGAGCTTGATACAACCGGCCCCTGGGTATTAATCTGTGTCCTTGGCATCCAGCATCGAAACAAGAAATTTTGTCAGCAAATGCCGTTTAAAAATTGCCTATAATTTCGCACTTACCTACTCTATTTGAACAAAATTTTTTCATAAGAATTGAGAAAAACTATCATTGTTTTATTTTTAACATTTTTTTTTGAATGGCGGACATGTTAGTAATTCATACATTGATCTAGCTAGGCCTCATAAAAGAGGGCCCAAATCAATTCAATTCTGTTTGAACTTTAAAATTTGTTTTGACATTGTTGCCATTCAGGTTTAAGCTGCTTTTTAATATTCCGCGCTTTTACAATAAAACATAAAAAAAAAGATCAGTAAAATTATAAGAATATTATATACAAAAATATAAATATTTAAAAAATTAAATCATCATCTCTCTAACATTTCACTCCAGTTGTATCACAAAAAAAATTGCTCTTTGCTATTTAGAACCTACCATATTCTTAATTCTCTAATCATATTTGACTGCGCTGTATTAATCCTTGTAGTATTTTACTATGATCGTAATTTCCAAAACTCCCAATCTTTGAACTTTGAATATTGGAAACAAGGACACTAGGATACTTCGAAACTCAGAAACGCGGAATATCAGAAGTCAGAAACTCGGAAATTAGAATCTTGAAAATTGGAAACTCGTAATATCGGAAATCGGAAACTCGGAAATCGGAATCTTGGAAATTGAAAACTCTTAATATCGGAAATCGGAAATCAGAATCTCAGAAATCGGAATCTCGGAAATCAGAATATCGGAAGTCCCTCCTCGGCCATCGTACGTCGACAAATAGATTTCGTTCCGCATCGCGAACTTTGGCTGCGATGGAGGGAAGAGGGGTAGACTAGACTGATCCGCGATTACAAATTTTGGGACGAAAACTGACTTTAGAAATATGAAGTTCG